GCTCTCCCGCTGCGGAGCACAGGCTCCGGACGCGCAGGCTCAGCGGCCATGGCTCACGGGCCCAGCCGCTCCGTGGCACGTGGGATCTTCCCGGACCGGGGCACAAACCCGTGTCCCCTGCATCGGCAGGCGGACTCTCAACCACTGCGCCACCAGGGAAGCCCCAAGCATGTGAGATTTTGTGTGAGCCTTTTAAGAGTGAAGTCTCTATTTCCCACAGCCCTCTGGCTCTTCCGAAAGTAAGCCCAGCTGACCTTCAAAGCCAAACATTCTAGGGGCTCATCTTCCTGGTGCAGGGCCACTGGGCCAGGGAACCCAGTGTGGGGCTTGGACCCCTCACTCCTTGGGGAGAAACTTTGCAATTGTAATTATCCTCCTCTTTGTGGGTTACCCACCCAGGGTATGGGTCTTGACTATAGCACATCTCCGCTCCTCCTACCTGTCTCGTTGTGGTTTCTTCTTTATATCTTTGGTTGTAGAAGATCTTTTCTACTAGTCTTCTGATCTTTCATTAATAGTTGCTCTGTAAATAGCTGTAATTTTGGTGTGCCCGTGGAGGGGAGGGTCTTTCTACTCTGACATCTTCTCTAATCAAAACATTTTTTAAGGCTGAATTTGCCCTTATAAATATTTAATCTGATAATGTGCACAGAAACCTAATAGTTCTTCCTGTGGGTGATCACACACAAAATACCTAACACTGGTACCATTCAAGGTCCCAGTAGGAAACAGGTAGCACTCACATAGGATAATTGATGGGTGGTTAAGAAAGGAACTGTTTATACACATGTGGTCAGATTAAACCAGCAAGGCTGGAAAAGCAGCCCTGGCTAGTAACAGTGGGAAATATTTCACCACCACTGCTACCCACACCTGAAGAGGCAAGGAGAGAAATCAGTTACCAAAACCCAGAAAGAGCTGCAGCTGTAGCTTTGGAAGAGTTGGCCCACAGAGCTGTGAACTTCACAGAGGAAGTAGAGGAAGGCAGCCAAGTCATCCATAGAACAGCATGTCGTGTTCATCAGAGCACATTTATCAACATGCAGTAGTGGCCTACACTAATGCTTCGTTGTTACATGTGTCTGCAATTTCAATCCCCTATTATTATAGTGTGCAGCCCAGAGGTAATCCAGGAAGCCTCGGAGTAGAAAAAATATAAATATTACAGGGGGAAGAGGGTTAGTAACTCAAAGGGGCACATTGAAGAGATTCTGGGTTGCTAGCAGGAGATACGAGGAGGGATTTTGGGTCTCTGGCCAAGTTCTGTTTCTTCAGTATCAAAGTAAAAGGGGCACGTTCCATTTGTGAAGTTTTAGCAGGCTATACAGTTACGGTATGTGTAGCTTTCTTTATATGTGTTAAACTTCAATCAAAACTTCTGTATCTATACATTTATGTTTTGTGTGTGTGTGCACGCGTGTGCATGTGTGTGAGTGTGCTAATTACTAATCCTGGTACTTTTATCTTTAGCAAAAGATATGGCTGTCCAGATCATTTTGATTGAGTTCTCCCCGGTCATAGGAGATAGCAGAATGAATAGCTTAGAAGCAAACACATAGATATTAAGAAGATAAATATTAATAAATATTAGAGCTTAATAATGCGGGGCATTGAGATTCATAGCCTTGAAAGCAGAGTTCAATAATTGAGGCTCCTAATGGTGATATCATGTCCTCAAGAGCAATTTAATTATGGAACATATACTGTTACTAAAACTGGGGAGATTTTAGAAACCTTCCACTGTGATTGAACAATTCACTGCTTAAAGATGAACGTTACTTATTGTAAAGTTAAGTTACCCCAACAATACTGAAAACAGAGGTATTATTGTAGTGCCTTTTAGGGAGGTTCTTCGGGTTAAGCCGTATTTAATGAGGAATTCCATTTAAACAAGTCACCACGTTCCCAGGTCATTCCAGATGATCAGAGTTTCACCGTAGTGTGTAATCACCTACAGAGTGGATTTGGACTGTAAAGAAACGTTACACATAAACTGCTGCACAAATGCAGAAATAGTTGGTGTGACCAGAGCCAGGTAAGCTTTCATTATCATTTTAAAGAGTGTTAGAGCCAGAGGGACCATCAGATACCATCTGAGCCAATCCCCACATTTTACTGTGGAGGACATTTAAGCTCAGAGAGGTTAAACTGACTTCCCAAAGACACACAGCTGACGTATGGCTGATTTGCAACCAGGACTGACCTATCCCCAATTGCTGACCTGCCCACCTTTACAAAGCCTTGTTCTCCAGAGCAGAGGTGCTGGGTCAAGCTGACTTGGGTTTGAATCGGTTTAGCTCTTGGATTTGCTAGTTGAGTGTGACCCTGGGCCCCAGTGACAGGTCCTGTCCTGTGAAAAAATATTGCCTGGGTATTAATTCAGAGGTACAGACACCAAGGTGCTGCATGGCAAGTATCTTGAGAAGTTAAGTCCCTGAGATAGAACTGAGGGCGGAGGAGAGCTGGGAGGCTCCTTAACCTCCTTCTATAGGAAGGAGGCTGTGAAGAGGGAAGACCTCTGCAGTGGAGACCTTCCTGGGGTTTTTGCTTTCTCAGCCTCTGGGCCTGAGTGTCCAGTGGAACTGTGCTTTCCTTCTGCCTGTAGAAGTGCACTTTACTCCGGGATCTGCGGGGACGATGGGTGCATTTGTGGGCCTTCTCTAATGCTGTTTGCACCTGACTGAGTGTAGACACCTGCCATCTAATGGAGATGGTGTTAGGACTCACCTCAAAAGGCTTTTATGAGAACGAAAAGAGGTAATGTATCAAACCGAGTAGTTGGCACACATCAGCCACTTAAAAGTTGTGCACAACTGTTGTTACTCAGCTAGAACACAACAATGGATTTGACCTTGATATTGTTCAAGATCTTGACCGTTGTTTGACTCAGACAAATTTCCCTTCATAGAGTGTATTACTTAAAAATAATGGCTTTGGTGAAAACACTAGACAGCAGAAAAAAGTTGATAAATTACTTCTTATTTAGGAATCCGATCTAGTTGGGACTGGCTCTTCTTCCCTAAAGGGACAAGGAATGTAGTTGTGTCTTACTTTTTTCAAGCTTTGTCTTTACGTTGGAAGACCTAAGAATCTAGCTCCTAATCCATTACTTAATAAAAAGCGTCAATGAGCAAATTATCAGACTGCTTTGAGCCTCCGTTTCCTCCTCTTTAAAATGAGGTTGATAATAATACTACTCACAAGATGGTTGTGGAGCTTAAGTGAAAGAAAGTGTACACAAAGAGGCAAAAACATGGTCAGAGATGAACTCTGAAGAGTGGAAATCTTCAGGAGATTATGTTACCTCTTTTCCAGTTTTCATCTTGCTGCTACAAAAGGACACGTGGAATGCCTCAGGGTCATGGTTACGCATGGCGTGGATGTGACGGCCCAAGATACTGCCGGTATGTAGTCTTTTTCTCTTAAGTCAACAGGCCAGCAGGAAAGTAGGTATCACAAAAGTGATACATATTCATTGTGGAAAATTTACAATCTATACAGATAAGGCAAAAGAAGAACATAGAGTCTACTCCATTGACCAAGCTCTGACATGGTTTCATTATTCGTGCCTTTACAGGTGTTTTCATCTTATATGTGGTTAGTCAACTAGAGACTGTATGCTTCTTATCCCCCATTAAAAATTTTTATTTTCTAAGATTATTTGTATGGACCAAGCACCTCTCCCTAATTTTTGTTTTCATGAATCATGGTATGAAGTGCTGAATGGAATGAATTGTGTAGGCGCTCATTTTGTCAACTAGCTGAGTTGAGCTCTGTGGACAGAAGCCAGGATCCTAATGTGGACCAGCTGCCCATGGTCTGCACCCCTTACTGTGGTTTAGTGTATCTGAATCACCTGGGAACTGGAGGGGAGGAAGGGAGGGAGAGAAAGGGGGAAAGGAGAGGAAAGAAAAGAATAAACAGTGCACACACACAGACACACACAAAACCCCACACATATATACCCAAACTCTACCTTCTGAAATTCAGATTCCATTGTCCGAATGTTTCCAGCCAATTGGTATTTTTTGTAAAGCTCCGAGGTGATTCTAGTGTGAAGCCAGTGTTGTTAAATGATGATTAAGGCAAATAGAAGAGGAAGTGTAGTCCTGTCTTTTATGAACGTTGTTTTACAGGAAGGAGCCCCTGGGGTCTCCAGCCTGGGTTCTGCCCCTGTTGGCCACACCCAAGGATCAGAGCGGCTACTGATGGCTTTTCATTTCCATGTTGTACATGAAAATCTGTCTTCTAATAGGCTTTTGGTGGTTTTTACTGGAATATAAAATCAGTCTATTTCATAGTCTTTATTTAGGCTTTTCATTAATCCGTAATGGTTCACTTTCCCTTCCCCAAAACACTGACACCTCAGAGTAGTCATCTTGGGGGCAGATTAGTCAATCAGGTATTGTGAAAATATAATTTTTTCAAAATATGACTGGAAAACTGGCGTTTTGGAATTGTTTTCATAAAGGCTGTGGCATTAAAAAGAAATCATCTCAGTGTTTGGGAACCTTTATTCTTTCGTTTTTTTAGGACAGGCCAAGAGCCACTTGACGTCAAGTCAGATAAATGAAGTGTCAACCTGGTAAAACCATTTTTGGTCAAAAATAGTGAGTGATTAAAGTAACCGAATGATTTTCCTGAGCAGTGCCACAGAAAGCTCCAGAAAAATATTGTGAGAAATGGCAATACCAATAGAAGAAAGAATGGTTTCCCTAAGTGACCACCTTGAAGGAAACACTAATCTATGTTGCTAATTAAAATCATCTTTAATCCCAAGACCCAGTTATTTTGTTTTTAAAGTTTATTGTTACTACTTTTAAAGTTGTACCACATACACTCAGAGCAGTATGAGTGGCTACGGTCGCCTTGATGAAACGTATGTCCTCTTAAGTAGACAGGGTTTCTTCTCTAAGAAAATCATAATCTAGAAGAATTTTCTTAGACGGAACATATTTGAGCTGTAATACAGTTTTGTTTAACTGCATTTGATGTTAAAAAATAGATTAGACAGGAATCTGGTTATTTCCATCATAACCAAACATCTCTCCCCCATATTTTTATTAAAGGGAAAAAATGTTTCTGGGCTTCCCTGGTGGCACAGTGGTTGAGAGTCCACCTGCTGAAGCAGGGGACACGGGTTCGTGCCCCGGTCCGGGAAGATCCCACATGCCGCGGAGCGGCTGGGCCCGTGAGCCATGGCCGCTGAGTCTGCGCATCCGGAGCCTGTGCTCCGCAACGGGAGAGGCCACAGCAGTGAGAGGCCCGCGTACCGCAAAAAAAAAAAAAAAAAAAAAAGTTTCTTTAATACATGCTCATTGTAGAAAATTTGGGAAATACAGAAAACTACCAAGAAGATAATGAGTGCTTCTACTCCAAGAAGAAAAAAATCTTACCGTTTAGCTATATTTCCTACCAGATTTTTCTGGCACATTTTTACATAGTTGAGATCACATTATATAATAAACTCTAAATCCTGCCTTAAAAAAAAAAAAAAGATTACCATGATCATTTTCTGCACTAAAAGCTTTTAAGAAGCGTAGTTTTTTGTGGCCATCTAATACCACGTGGGTGGAGTTTATATTTACTACCAGAGCCCTCACTCAGTTTCTGAGAGCCTGGGGAATCGGGCAGTGAGACCTGGACACCCCAGTGCAGTTCCCTCTTCCTTGCCAGCTGAGATGACAGTGCCCTCCAAGAAGCTGGAGGGGAGGACTTCCCTGGCAGTCCACTGCAGGGAGCATGGGTTCAACCCCTGGTCGGGGAAATAAGATCCCACGTGCTGCAAGCCATGGCCAAAAAAAAAAAGAAGCTGGAGGGGACACTGCAGACCCATCCTGGATGCTTCTCTGGGCTGGTCAGTGGGAACTGCCACAGCCCATTTCTTTCAACTCTGATTGAAACTGGTAGAATCCACAGCACTTTGTAGCCCCAGAACATCGTCCAAACATCCCATGAGTTGGAAATGTCTCAGAGCTGCCGGTCACTTCCCTCTTGCCTGACGTTTTTAACAATGAGGTCAGCACTCTGGTCCTTGGGCTTATTGTTTTTACTTTAGTCTGAGTGAGGCACTGACTTCTTGTGATTTCTTGAAAACATGCAAAGAGAACACAGGAACAAAAGAAGGAAAAGCGGCATGGATAAAAGTGCATAGAGAGTCTGTTGTGTTATGTAGAACAACACTTCTCAAACTTTTTTCTGTTACAGTGAACCAGATAAACGTGATGGCCTTTACTGCTCACATCCTTCCTGTCGGCTCTATCACCCAGTCCCACCTCTCCCTCTCAAGAACACGTATCAGAATCCAAGGGAAGGACAAGGACATTAGTCACTGTGCTTTAGTGGTCATCATTTGCCCAAAACATTTGGCGAATGAACGAATTAAATGGCTTCGCTCTCATAGGTGCTGTCTTTTCAGTAAACCTACCTGAAGTATTGCCATATTATTACTAAGATATAGTCGTCTTCAATCCCAACAGCCACTGAGAACTCGTATGAAAATCTGTTACCATAAATCCAAGTGCCCTATAGAGTTTCTGAAAAAAACCTGCTTTCAAAATATATCATTACACTAACCCTTTTAATTCTTTTTATCCACAAAGTCTACAGGATGATTTTAAACTGGTGATTGGATTTAAGTTCAGAAGCAAAGGGTTTTTCTTTATCAACTATCCTTCCACATAAGATGCTTGAAAGTCCGACCAGAGACTTTTTTTTTAAATTTTATTTTATTTTTATTTTTAGCTGCATTGGGTCTTCATTGCTGTGTGCGGCCTTTCTCTAGTTGTGGAGAGCGGGGGCTACTCTTCGTTGCAGTGCGCGGGCTTCTCATTGCGGTGGCTTCTCCCATTAAGGAGCACGGGCTCTAGAGCGCGGGCTCAGTAGTTGTGGCACACGGGCTTAGCCGCTCCGCGGCATGTGGGATCCTCCCAGACCAGGGCTCGAACCCATGTCCCCTGCACTGGCAGGTGGATTCTTAACCACTGCGCCACCAGGGAAGCTCCTGACCAGAGACTTTTCATAAGTGCTTTACAAACAATCTTAGGAGCAGAACACTGTCAGAAGATAAGGCCTTGGGTACAGTACAGTACATCTCAATCATCAATTTAGATAGCCTTTGAGGCTTAGGTGAGATAATACGCGTGGGCATCTTAGCGCCCGGCACACAGTGAGTGCTCGCTGCCTTTGGCTCCTATTTTATGATGATTATTGCTACTTCATCCACATCACCTTTATTCTCTTTTACACATCAGGCTTTTGCAGAGGTTTCACATCTTAAAAAAAAAAAAAAAAATTGTGATCATCCCCAAGCCAAATACTTTCATAGTACAAATCAGAAAAAGAAACTCCAAAACTGGCAGAAGCTCATGACTCATGTTTTTGGTTTGGGGGGGTTCCCCCCATTCCTTATTGCCTGTTTGCCAAACAACGCCATAGGCGTATATATAGCAATCAGCTGGGAAAGTCCACACCTAAACTCGTAGCGCTGACTCTGAACAGGGCCTGCGTAATTGTCCAGCGCCTCGTTGCTTTGTCTGCTCTTGTTCTTCACTGATGTAGGAAGTGGCATTTCTGTCTGTTTCTTTAGAAATCACTTCTCCCAGATTTCTAGGCTTTTTTTTTCTTTTAATGGCTGCAGTTAGCACCTGGGAGGATGAGATTGGATTAAACAGAAGCATTTACAGAAGATTGAAGAAGACCAAAGAATCTTCTGTTTGTTATCACTGCTCATCTGAAGCATGAGCTTTCAGACTCCCTTTATTAGCAAGCGTATGCATTTGACACAGTGTGATCCAGTGGCTTAAACAAGATAGACTTTTCTGTCTCTCAGTTGAAAGTCCCAAATTGGTATGGCAGCCTGGCTCCACACCAAGGGACCCAGACTCCTGTTGGTCCACCATCCAGGGTGTTGCCTTGGTCCTAATGATCCAGGATGGCTCCCCCTGAGTCTGCATCGCAGTCACAGTGGGCAGAAGGGCAAGCCCAGCCCACAGAGTGATCTGTGGCCACACCTGGCTTTAAGGGAGGCTGGGAATTCTGGGCAGCAAATTTTCCAATTAAAAATATAGAAGGTTTTGCTGTAGAAGGAGATGGAAACAGATTGAAGGATGATGTGCAGTTTCTGTCACACTCCCGTGCCTTAAGTTTTCCCTGACTCCTTTGCACACAAAACTTCTTTTCTCATAGAAGAAGAGAGGCTTAGGAAAGTGAGAACTGAAGTATGGAAATACCCTAATGCACAGAGGTCTCAGGAGGGGGGCACTTGAGAACCCTTACTCTTTCCTAGGGTTTCAGGTGCTGGTTTAGCTTTTGTTTGGATTTCTGGGTGGCCCTCCCTTCCATTATGCCCCTAATACCACTCACATATGACACCATGTGAAGACACAGACGGTAATATTCATCTTAAAATTCAGGCACTTGAGAGAATGGGTCATGTAAAATGTTAATTGCAAATTATAGCCCACTAAGTGTATTTCGTATTTTCATTTGGATTAAAGGCAAACCAAAGAACGATTGTATGATTTATAGTCCTTTATTTGCTGTTCACGCATGTGTATGGGATGTCAGGAGGGCCATCCGTATAACCTGACCATGAAAATATTTCAGGTGATACACCCACACACACAAAAATCTTTTGATTCTATATAAAACAGTATGCAAATCTACTTTGTGGAGATTAAGGGATAATTCAAAACTCTGTTTAACAGTAAGAATGGTTATTAGAAATCTCCTCTATATATGTATGTGTGTTTGTGTAAAACTGAATCACTTTGCTGTACCCCAGAAACTAACACAACATTGCAAATCAACTATACTTCAATAAAAAAATACAGATTTTTTAAAAATTATTTTTTATTGAAATATAGTTGATTTACAGTGTTGTGGGGTTTTCTTTTGTTAACTTTTATATTGGGGTATAGTTGATTAACCATGTTGTGTTAGTTTCAGGTGTACAGCAAAGTGATTCAGTTATACTATACATGTATCTATTATTTTTAATAAATAAAATTTTAAAAAGGAAATACATCTTTTATACCCTGATCTCGCCCCTGGAACTATAACTAGGTGAATAGACTTATGCTTCAATGATTAAAAACTTGATGTAAAGATAAGCATTTCTAAGAACAGAGCTGTTTAAATATATTTGAAGTTGTAAATAAGAAACAAATTAATTTACACTTTTATTGTTTATATTCAGCATTCTGAAACTCTGGTTCTTAAATAGATATTTTAAGCCATACCTAGTCGACTATCATTTAATTCTTTCTTTTTCTAAATGTCTCCATGTTATAACCTGGAACTATAATTTCTCAAACTTCAGCCTTTTGGTGCTTGTTCATGTCTTTGTGTCTTATGACCTCATCGGTTTAAAAATTTGTCACCTACACCTGAAGGCTCTGTTCTCAGTCCCATCAGTAGTAGTTCCTCCGCTCTATGAGTGAGTTCTTCTCTGTTTCAGCAGCGCTCTTAAATCACTGAATAAATGGTTGTTTTCCGAGGTGGGTTGGAGGATGGTGTTCATGGCTACAATGGCTGGGCCATCCTTCTTAGACTCTTTCAATAACAGGGTTCTTAAACCACCTGGAATAGCCCACGACTCTTGACTTATAAATAGCCCTGGTCTGTTCACTTACAGAGTTCTGCTGAGATGCACTTGAATTAGGGCTGCCCTGTTATTTTCCTATAGGGAAGTTGCTTCCTGATATTCCAGACAGATCCACAGCTGAGTGGGGGCCAGACTTATGCACTGGCTCGTTTCAGTGAGGTTCTGTCACTAACGTATTCTCTCCAGAAAATTTTGCATTTGGAAAGAGAATTTTGTTTTAATGGTAGCAGTGAGAGACATCTCACTCCAGTGTAATGTTGTCCAGGGAATGATGCATCATTTGAATTTTGAGACTTCTAAGTGAAAAATGCTTTTGTGCTCCTGGTTAGGAAAACACATCACAGGGCCAAGGAATAAGAAAATTTTGTTTCTCTAGAAACACAGTGCTTACTTCCAGGTGTGACTAGAACACTTGGAGTGAAAAATAAAAGCCTGTTATTTATTTTATGCTGAATTGTTTAAATCTCCCTACCCTCTTGTCTTTGGAGAACTGTGCCTTTTTCCAGTGGGTGCTATTTATGCAGAAGAGCTTTTGTCCACAGGGTAGACGAAAGTTAAGGCATTGCATACACGACATAAACAGTCTTCTACTTACAATCAGGATGGGTTCCAGAAGTTCATCTGTAAGGCATTTGTTTAAAACACAGAATGTGCTTGTCTTTAGAAACACTGGTATAAATGATGGTTGAGGGCCAGGCTAACCCACCAAAACCTATTTAACGCATAATGTAACTGAACCCACTATTGTGTGTTATACATCCTGAAAGGAGGGGGTCTCCTGCAGTAAAAGGAGGAAGGGGAAGAGAAGATCTTTTGTCTTCCTGCTTCCAAGGGTCTCAGTCCCTCATCTCCTGACCTTCCTCACCCTCATCCACTTGGGAGGAGGTCAAAGGATTCCTTGCGTCAGTGTTCTACCCCCATCAATTAACTCCCCTCACACATACCCAGAAAATCTCTGTGCAGCTACTCAGAAAAGAAGGAATCTGATCTTTTGACCTCACACATGCTTTTGTGCAGCTCACTGTGGTCCTAAAACCCTCTAATTTTAGATATGGTATTTCCTAGCCATATGATAACCTAATAATTAGTGGATTTCTGGTCAGGGTTATTATAAAGACTAATTCAGAAAGGAGAAATGGTATTTGGAGACTGGACCACCATATAAAAGAAGCTGTTCCTCTAAGCCAGGGGTTCTCAACCGGGGGTGATTCCCACCCATCCAGGGGATATTTGGCGATGTCTGGGGACATTTCTGATTGTCCCAACTGGATGTCCAGTGGGTAGAGGCCAGAGATGCTACTCACCATCCTATAGTACATAGGACCACCTTCCACAGCTTCAAATGTCAAGAGCAGTAAGGCTGAGAAACATGCTTTAAGCCTGTTCCAAAGTGTGGGTTGCTTACAGGTGTTACATTGGGGGTATCTTGGTCAAACAGTTTACAGATGCAGGATTTAGGAGTTTCCTAGGTGTATTGGGTTGGCTGGCAGTGGTAACTTTGGTTCCCTCCCTCCAAACACCACTCCGCAGACACCTGTAGTGGACATACCCTCTAATTCAAATGAGCAAATGTGTATCGAGAGCCTATTATGTGCCAGCAGTGCTGCAGGCTTTTGGGATACAGAGTTTATATTCTAGTGGGGAAAGAAGAGCAGTTAAACATAAGAGAGTGTGTGTGTGTGTGTGTGTGTGTGTGTGTGTGTGTGTAGGGAGAGAAAGGAGTGGGGTGGAAAGGGAGAGTTGAAGGTGCTGGGTGCTATGAAGGATAAAAGAATGAAACAGGAAATAGGGATAAAAGAGGTGGGGGCGGAACTGGAATTTTAAGTGGTGAGGTCAGGAAAGACCAGAGATGCTGGTCTGTGACCAGAGATGAGGTCAGAAGACTGTGTTTCGGTGGCATCCGAGGGAGGTAAGAGGGCAAGCTGGGTGGTTATCTTAGAGGAGGAGGGTCCAGGCCAAGCAAAGAGTAATTTGCCAGGGTCCTTGGGTGGGAGCCTGCTGGTCTAGTAGGGCTGCCTCTAAGCCCCTCTTCCGTAGAAACTCTGAGGCCCATTCGGTGGTAGCGGGGAGGGGCCTGGGTATAGCATTAAAATTTCCTAAAGTAATCTGGCCACAGAAACGTCAGAGAGCCTCATGTTGTTGTAATGTTCTGTGAAGGGAGCGTGAAAAGATGCTACTTTGCTAGTGTGTTGTTTTTATAACCCTTTTCCTTCTGCCATGTAAGAACTTGGGACATCTGAACTCCAGGTAATTTCCATACAGAGCTGGAGCACATCTGGGGGAGGGAGAAACGAGAGGTGGAAGTGGGGTTTCGTCGGGTGTTTGGTGTGCTCCCTGCTGGCTCGCTGGCTGCCTTTGCTGGGTTCCTGGGCTAGTGGCAGTCGTGGCCTGGTGTGACTGTTATGGACGTGGGGCGTCTGGCACCCGTGCTGACAGCTGAAAGCAGAACTTCCAAGCTGCATACCAGGAGTCCACCGCAAGCTTCTAGCGCAGAGCTCGATTGTACCCCAAGAGGACAGCAGCTGGCATGGACTCTGAATGTTATCCAGGGGACAGGATGCTCTGTGTTCTCCCCACTTTTGTCACACTGAACTTTGCAGAGAAGTTGAGGCCTCATTCTCAAGAGTAACAATTCCGGGCTTCCCTGGTGGCGCAGTGGTTGAGAGTCCGCCTGCCGATGCAGGGGACACGTGTTTGTGCCCCGGTCCGGGAAGATCCCACATGCTGCGGAGCGGCTAGGCCCGTGAGCCATGGCCGCTGAGCCTGCACGTCCAGAGCCTGTGCTCTGCAATGGGAGAGGCCACAGCAGTGAGAGGCCCGTGTACCGCAAAAAAAAAAAAAAAAAATAACAATTCCGTCTTTGTTGGAGAACAATTTATTTCCTCATAGTTGTCTTCATTACAGAGATGAGAGATATAAAAAACAATTTTTTTTAATCCATTTAGGACACAGTGCTTTGCACCTTGCAGCTAAGAACAGCCACCATGAATGCATCAGGAAGCTCCTTCAGGTAAAGCGGAACAACAGAAAATTATAAATGTGTCATTTGTAAAATTTGAAAGTAACCTTGTGGGTGAAAGAACAAACACATACACACGTACTCCTTCAAATATTATCCCAGAACCTGGGTTTCCTAAGAAGCTTCATTATAGCCAAGAAGAAGATTATTTCCGTAGCAGTTGCGCTGGTAGAGAAGAAGATCCTAATAAAAATTTGGAGTGTCTTCCTGGGATCCAGCCCTTTTCTCCGCTTTATTCAGCTCTTTCTTTCTTATTGGAAGAACTTGTACCCTTTACATAGTCAGCTTGACAAAAATTTTTCATGCTATTGGAGAGCCTTATAATACAGGATCTCCAGTATCCTAGTATTTATTCTCTCTCAATCATTAGTAGAATGCAGCTTTTCTTGATTAGCAAAATTTCAACCACTGTTTCCTTGTATGTAACTTGATGAGCCTTTAGTTCTTAGTCTTTGTTCAGGTTCTTGGTTTTATTCTTCTTTATAATTTTAGGTCAACTCCCTGGTTTGATAACCTTGCCAGGAAGTTTATAATGATTGCTTAGGGTGACTTCCGTATTTCTTTAAAGATGAATATTTCGTGAAATCCCAACAGCAGTTTGTACAGTAACTTCCAGCTGATGCCAGTCAAAATGCAAGCTGGCTGTTTTCAGGAACAGCACAGAGCAATAAAATATGTGTTTGGAGTAATGTCTGTTCTCTTGAGCTGTTGTCTTGGCCTTCCTGAGCATCGTTTGGGACCCAGCATCTTGCTTTAATTTGGCTTTGCAACTCTAATGCAGCAACATGGGCACATTCTTCAACTTGTCCTGTTGATCACACAGCTTCTTGTCTTGCATTACCTGATGCAAGCTACCATCAATGCCAGCGATGCTTAACCTTAACAGGTCTTTGAAGTGAAATTCAAGAAACGTAGATCAACATCTGTGATGATGATGGTGATTTTTATCCTGAGGCTCCTCTCTAAAGACAGTTACAATAGAACTTTTCTTCCCTGCCTCCACACCCATGGTCTTAACCTTAAATTTTTGTTTAACTTATTTGTATTTTAAATCTCCATTCCCGTCCTGGCTTGGCTATCCAGACTTTGCATCTGGCTCTGATTTGAAGGAAGAATGAACTTGACAAGCTGGAAATCCTCATGGGCAAGGACCAGATATTCTAGCCTCTAATGTAATTTTATATCTGGTTATGCAAATGGATTGGTTTTTCCCTGGAATCTTTGAAGCCTTTAAACAGTTCCTTGTGCTGTTCTAAAATTAGGCCAAAACATGGTAAGCTGTAACGTGATCTCTATTCTTCTTACCACTGAAGGGCAGACAAACATTTCCACCATTGCCTGCTCTCTGCAAACTGTCTGAATTCTGTTCTTCTTTCTGGATAGTTGTTAAAACTGGAGGCTTTGACGGCCTCCTGATGGGCTGCTTACCTTGGGTCCTGCACCCCTCTGGTAACTGCTTCACTCCTCATCTGGGCGACCCACGCCCTCCGTGATGGGGCCACTGCCATCTTGTGCCGCCCCTCACCCTTCGCCCTCTCTCTCCGGCCTTTTGCTCTTACTATCTGTCTGCTGGAGAGACTTCCCTTCTCCAGTGGCTACCATTTCAAAGTTCCACCTCCTTAAGGCAATGGGCACAAAGAGAGCCTTGTGAGAGTCTTCAGATGAACTCTCCCCCACTCTCTCTTGTAGCAAGTGGTCCCTGGGCACCATGCGCTCTGTCAGGCAGTGAGTATTTACTCACAGAGCAGCCCCTATCCTGCTGGAGCTTGCCTTCTGGTAAATGAAGACAAATACACATGACCGATTGCACATCACTGAGAAGAAATCTAACAGAGTATTGTGAGAGGGGAGTGAGGAGGGATGTTCAGGAAGGCCCCCGGGGAGGAGGTGATATTTAAGCTGAGAACTCAGCTGTGCGAAGAGCATTCCAAGCAGAGAGAACAGCAAGTACAAAAGGCCTGAGGTAGGAAAGTCACTAACTAGCGGGGAGGAAAGAAAGCCAGTGGGTGGGCTGGGGGCAAAGCGAATGAGGAGCAGAAAGAAGGGCCCAGGGGGCTTCCTTGGCGGTCCAGTGGTTGAGACTCTGCGCTTCCACTGCAGGGGGCGTGGGTAATCTGGTCATGCCGTGCAGGGAGGCCACCAAAAAAAAACAAACAAAAAAGAAGGGCCCAGGCTGCAGCCTTGTGTGTCACGATGGGCAGACAGTGATTCCTCAAAGTACAGTGTGGAACTGTGGAGGACTTTGCAGTAAACAGCAACACTGACGGTTTAGAAGTTCACTCTATTTGTATAGAGAATTGACTAAAGAGCTGAGGACAGCCAGGTGGCCGTCAAGGCTGTCCAGGTGAGCAGGTGTTGGCTCAGACCAGGTGGTGACAATGGAGGAAGAGAGGAGAGTAGATCGGGGTGTGTTTTGGGGACAGAATTGACAGGACGTGGCAGGAGGAAGAGGAGAAGAAATCAAGGATGACTCAGTGGTTTCTGGCTCAGTGACTAGACTGATGATAGCACTGTTGACAGAGGCAGGGATGGCTCGGGCTGCGTGGCGGGGAGGGGAAACCAGAAGTGTTGGCTGTGCTGCGTTTGAGACATCAGGCGGAAACGTGAAATAGGCTGTGGGTTGTCAAGCTGGGGGCTCAGAGATGCCATCTGCTGTGTACAGATATGGACACTGGCTGTAGCCCAGCCTGTCTGGCTTTGAATCCTGGCTCTGCCACTTACTGTGACCCGAGCAAATTACTAGCTTCTTTGTACCTCAGTTTCCTCATCTGTAAATGGGGGTAATAACAGTATCTAACTAGGATTGTCAAGAGCCTTAAAACAATTCTTTGAACAGTACCTGGCACATACTAATAGCCAATACTTACACAGTAGTGTTGTCACTGTTAAGATATACACTCGGGAGGCATTAGCTTCTAGATGGGATTTCAAGCTATGGGTGTGGATGAGATTACTGAGGGAGAGAGTTTAGCGAAAGAACACTTAGGAGCCCCACAGTTTTATGTTTGGCTAAAGGGGCAGGCGTGGCCAGAGCAGTGGGGGGAAAACCAAGATCGGATGGGCCAGGCAGGGCTCTAGGGGCTAAAGGAGAGAGTGTTTGGAGAAGAGGGAGTGGATTGCCGGGGAGAGGTTGGTAAGAGGAGGGCAAGCATGTTTGCCATCGTTGGAAACACGAAGGTGGCTGGCCACTTGGATCAGGGCCATCCCTGTGGAGTCTTGAGGGCAGACGCCCAACTGCAGTGAGTCCAGGAATAAATGGGAGATGAGGAAACATGGCTTGTGTGGGACAGTTCTTAACAGGAAGTTGGTTTTGTGATGGCGGATAGAGAATTAGGGCAGGAAATGGGGAGGAAAGGTGGGATCAAGATGAGAAATCCTAGAGCATGTTTGTTAGCTGGTGGGGAAGATCTGTTGGCGACAGAGTTGATGGAAGAGAGAGGGGATGGTCAAAGCAGCCAAGAGGTGACAGTTCACCTGTGTCATGATTACTTGGAGATGAGTCTCCCTCCCCATGAGACCCTGGGCCCCTGGAGCACAGCAGTTGGGACTTAGTCATGTTTATTATACTTTTCTTAGGAAGTTGCATCATACCTTGCAGGAAAAGGATGAACTGAATTTTATTATACGTATTTATTGATTTTTGTCTTACAGTCGAAATGCCCAGCCGAAAGTATCGACAGCTCTGGGAAAACAGCTTTACATTATGCAGGTAATTTTCATTCTCTTATTTGTCTTCTTCTGCCATGAGAAACAGTAAGTGTCCGTTTTCCTTATTTAAGCCATTAACCTTGCCATTGTTATTCCTGATGCCGTTTTCTGTCGTCATTCCTAGACATCATTCCCATTTTCCTCAGTTTGCAAATTGTGTAGGGTTTTACGGAGGAATACAGCTAGAATTTGTCAGTCGCCTGCCAAACAACTAGTAAAAATTGTCCTGGTTATTATATTTTAATTAACGTTAGGTTCTTGTTTAAGAGATATTCATGAGCATTTGTAGATTTCAGGTAATGTGCGGTACAGATTTTTTTTTACTTGGGGATCAAAAGGAACACCAATCAGTTTTATTTATCAACATTTGGTTTTACTATCTGTCACACAGTTTCAAGTGACGAAACATTGGTACTGAAGTCCAGGATGATGAGATTTGCAAATTTCTTTTAGTGCTAGTTGTGGAAAAGCTAAGTCCCACGAAAAGCTAAACCAAAGGTTTGCCTAAAGGCAACAACTGGCGAGCACTGCCTTTAGGTCTGGATGACACCGAAATTAAACAGTAATTTAAAACACCACTTACTTAACCATTCTGACATCGTTTCTCTTCAATGCAACGTATGCAAACTGGGTGGAAGGTGAACTTTTCCTTCAGAGAAGTGTTTGATGCCCCTGGCTGTGAGAGTAGCTTTGTGATTGGCTGTGGTTTCTGTGTCTTCTTTCTCTCAGCGGCACAGGGCTGCCTTCAAGCTGTGCAGGTTCTTTGTGAGCACAAAAGCCCCATAAACCTCAAGGATTTGGTAAGTACCAGGTGACCACTAGAGGTGCAGATGGACACTGGTGTCTAGAGCACCATGGGCTACTTACTTCTGGGAGTCACGAAGACCTTAGAGACCCAAGCATTTGGTAAAAGTCTATTGCTTTCCGACCTAGATCCTCTTGTGCGAAACAGATTTAAGTATTATCCCCGTTGGTCCTTAAACCGTTAATAAAACGTTTTGCAGCATGCACTTCCTCTGTTTGTTTCTAAGGATAGACACGTGGCTTACCAGCAACCTAAATACGAATAAGGCTTAATTTCTTGATTTTTATAAATAAAAAATAAGTCTAAATAGAAGTTCTATTATTTTCTTTTTGCACCCCATATATTACCTTTGGTACCAAGGTTTTCCAATTTTAAAGACCACTTGTAGCCGATTTTGACCTTGCTGGGCTATTTTGAGAATAAACTGACATGCCTACTGCTCCTGATTATAGGGTTAAATTTCCTGCTGTAGCATGGGACTTGGCGTGTGTAAGTTATACCTGATGGGGACATTGCGAAGTGAGCATTTAGAATCTGTAAATAAATTCACGCTCCCTGAATCTCGGTACTTTATAACCAGAAAGTATTATAACTTCACAGAGATAATTTTCTAGAAATTCTGAAGTTCGACTTTGAGTGGATACTTAATCCTTAAGCAGCAATTGTATTTTTAAATATCCCCATGTTAAAATAATTGGATATATTGTAACTTTTTTTTTCCTTTGCCTATTTGAATACGTCCACCTTAAAATTACTGTCGACCCCATTTGTGGGGTATGTTCAAGGCAAGAGCAGAATAAAAGCCTCTCTTTATGGTTTACATAATTTGAGTCAGACCCCACTTCAAATTAAGATTCTGGAAATTGTCACCTATAAATTCTTCTAGTATTTTTTTTTCATTCGTTTCATACTGTAATGTTGAGATTCTTAATCCATTTTACATAGTTTGTATGAGTTGGGATCTAATTCTTCTTTCTAAAGGAATTGCCAATTGTTATATTAAACAAATCGTTCTTTCCATCAGTCCCTTTATCTAGTCATGTGTCAGTAATGAACAAATAAACTCTTAACATATGTTTCGATACCTAGTAAGATTATGAAAGGGTATGCTTTCTGAGAAGACTGGTGGCATGGCAGGATACTAGCATATGTGTAGTTCACTAGAAGAAACTGCTTAGAGCAGTGGGACCTACAAATGCCATATGGAAACAACCCTTCATTTCTCCAGAACCGTGGAGAACCATTTCTCAATAAACATGGTATACTTGCCTCGAGCCTTTACATACTTTGCGTTCCACTCTCTCTCACATCATAGTTGCAACAAGCAGCCCGAGAGACTGACTCCTGAGGAAAAGCCCACAGTCAGTGGGATTCCGTAACAAGGGTAGTGTTAGGGTGTGACGTTGGCCTATTAGGGGGCAGACTACTTTGGTGGGTCAAATGTAAGACCAGCAGGACAAGTCAGGAATAAATGTAGAAGGAATGAGGACCTTTGCAGTTCCGGCATTTGTCATCTAAGTTATAAATCTTAATCTGAATTTGTCTCCTAGGATGGGAATATACCACTGCTTCTTGCAGTACAAAATGGCCACAGTGAGGTCTGTCGCTTTCTCCTGGATCATGGAGCAGATGTAAATTCCAGAGACAAAAATGGAAGGTACCACAGAATTAGAAAGCATGTTGTTTCAGTGATATCCACATTCTGAGAAGCTTTCAAAATATCAGAGATGTATTTTGGATCATTTGTTTTAAAGCAGTTTTAATTTCTTTCTTTTACTGATTTCTGCCTTTTTGGATAATTAAGAATCTGTTTTGGGCTTCCCTGGTGGCGCAGTGGTTGAGAATCTGCCTGCTAATGCAGGGGACACGGGTTCGAGCCCTGGTCTGGGAGGATCCCACATGCCGCGGAGCAACTAGGCCCGTGAGCCACGACTACTGAGCCTGCGCGTCTGGAGCCTGTGCTCCGCAACAACAGAGGCCGCGATAGTGAGAGGCCCGTGCACCACGATGAAGAGTGACCCCCGCTTACCACAACTAGAGAAAGCCCTCGCACAGAAACAAAGACCCAACACAGCAAAAATAAATAAATTAATTAATAAACTTAAAAAAAAAAAAAAGAACAAACTGTTTTGACTTAAAAAATATTTTCCCCAGACCTCTGGGAGCATCATTGCTGACTGTGTCTGTGATGAGATTATTAAATGCTAAAATGAATAGGCCGTTTCCTTTGCCTTTTCATGCAAAATAAAAGTAAACATATTGGTTGTTTTTTAAAAACAGTCTTAATAATGTTATAGGTTGTTTAAAAAACTTGATTTGTAAAAAAGGCAAGATTTGTGCCAATCGTATTAAATTCCATCATATTTAGAAGATTATGTCTATGTTATTTGACCTAATATTTAATGTTCTGATTTAATCTGAAGTTTTATAAAACAGCAACCCAATTTTATTTTGATAGCATTGCACTTTGAATTTCCTAGAAAATTAAGTGTCGTACAGGTTTAACTGCACTTAGTCTTCTTTCCTCTGTTTTTAAGACAAATGAAATGATTTCCTAGCAACAAGTTTTCACATTTTGTGTACTAATTTTTTGTCTCCTCATTCTTTAGAACTGCTCTCATGCTGGCTTGTGAGATTGGCAGCTCTAACATTGTGGAAGCCTTAATTAAAAAGGGGGCAGACCTAAACCTTGTAGATTCTCTTGGACACAATGCCTTACATTATTCCAAACTCTCAGAAAATGCAGGAATTCAAAGCCTTCTATTATCAAAAATCTCTCAGGATGCTGGTATGTGAAAGAAAATAGCCAGTGTTGTTTTAAATTTATCCACTCCATTTTCCCCAAAGGTTAAAGGAATTTGTGCAATATATTTTATTATTCTTTTAAATATATTTCTGGAGAAAAATAGTGTTGAATGTTGTGTATGTTGTGTGTATGGGTATGTGTGTGTGTGGGGGTGTGTGTTTATATACCCCGCCACCCAAAGTGGATATGAGTCATTATGGTTCTTATATTTTTTTTTTTCCCTCACTTTTCTTCTATAGATTTAAAGACACCAACAAAACCAAAGCAGGTATTTATCTTTGGGGATGGAGATTCTTTTTCATCATTGCCTGTGGGAGTTTGAACATGTTCTAATTAAACCACTCTGTGGTCCATTAGGAAAGTGATAAAGACTATGCTGAAACTACTTAAGGAGTAAAATATCTTTGGAATAAATGATTCATTGTAAGGTGGTAAATATTTTCTTAATGATTTACCCTATTTCCAAAGCATGTAACTTTAAACTTGCTACTTATATATTCATCTTTTTCTGAAATATACTAATATTTCCTACTGGTGTGAAAAGGTTTGATGTGATTTTAACTCTGAGAACAACAGTATTTTAACTACTTGTAATATCACAGGAATTATAGAACTCTGTCCATAGCCATGTTAGTTAATGAAAGTAAGAGATTTAGCATTTTCTTTTATTTTAATTAGAGCTTTTCTAAAATGTCATTCATTTTACACAGATAGAAATTGAGAAGTTTACCCTGTTACTTTGGAGTTTTTCCTAAAAACATAGTCACCTCTGTTTATTAATGAGATATATATTTGGCTGTTTTATTTATTTATACATCAAGGTTCTTGAAAAAATTATCATAATCAGCAAATACTTGATAATGAATTTATTTTGTACCAATTGTGTTATATTTATCCATAACCTTCAGAGCTGAGGTTCTCCCTTTTTTCCCATATTTATGGTCATTCCTTGGTATCTGCAGGGAATAACAAAATCTGCAGAAGCTCAATTCCCTTATATAAAATAGTGTGATACAGTTGGCTCTCTGTATCTGAAATTCTGGGATATGCAGATGGTTGAATCTGGATGTGAAAACTGTGGATATGGAGGGTCACCTGTATACTCTTTAAGAAAAGGACTGGAAGTAATGAAAAGGTCGGGGAAATACCACTGCTTTGCATTAAGATGGAAGCTAGACTATGAATGTATTCTGGGTTCTCAGTTGTGGTAAACAACCCCTTATTCTCTACTTTCCCAGTTCTCCATACCAACTTAATCCGGTTTTGTCTTGTGTTTTTTATTTTCTTGCTTTAAAGCATGGGCTGCTAGAAGAAAACTTGGAGCATGCATATTACTTATTTTTATGTTGGTAGCAGATTTCAGATCTTGATAAAGTAAGAAATGCATGAACTGTTGAGGTTTTTCTCATTTGTTTGATGAAGCTATTTACTCAGACTTTACTAACCTAACTAACCCACCTCCATTCTTTGGACTATGACAACTTTCAGCATGATCAAGTCTCTAAAATAAGCTCAGAGAGAAGTGGAACTCCAAAAAAACGCAAAGCTCCACCACCTCCTATCAGTCCTACCCAGGTAAAAATAAAACCAACAATGAACAAACATATAACAACAAAGCCATAATTTTGTCATTTTGTGTTTAGGCCAAAAAGAACTGTTTTAAAGTTGACCCTTAAATGCACATTTGAAATTTTCTGTAGTGGTTTCAAATTACAAGTAGTGGTATGAAGAATTTTGATTATTAGTATGGAAATAATGTTGATTCTTATTTCAAAACTGAAGAATTGAACCGTATCTTTTTTAAAAACCTCAGAATTCTTAAAATCCATGACAGGAACTTTTTCCTCGAGATAATGAGCTCAGTGCATTTTCAGAGCTCATATTAACAGCTCTAGTAAAGTGGGGGAGAATGTGTAGCTGGTGAGGCGCTAGTTGAAAATGAATATTAGTTGGTTTATTAAACGTTGTTACAATACATTTGCCTTTCCTGTTACACTTAAGGTTGACTAATATTAAAAAACAGCTTTCATTTCTGAGCTTATGGTGATTACTGAATAGAGGAGGAAGCTTGAGTATCTATGAAATGGTAAATAAAAACAGGCCAGGGTTTGTTATTAAAAGAATCATAGGCCATAAAAAGAATAATCCATATCAAATATTTGAGCAGAATATCTCATCCAGTAAGTAATGTTAAATACGTTAGCATATTCATTAATAATATTCTCAATCTGCAATGGAAGTTTTATAAATTTTTAACGTTAATTCTAGTGAATATAGGAGTGAAGTTCCGTAGTTAATTCTACTGGGCAAACTTTCAAAAAGTATTTGAGGTAGCTGAATTACACTGAAAATATGTTACCCTTGAATTAATTGAAACTAAGGATAATTATTGTTAGATTTATTTGCATTGGTTAAATAGGCTAATTCTTTGGCACTGTAGAAGACTTTGAAAAAGGACTCTTTATTGACGGTTTTCATTTTGTTTCTTTAGTTGAGTGATGTGTCTTCCCCAAGATCAATAACTTCAACACCACTTTCAGGAAAGGAATCAGTATTTTTTGCTGAACCACCCTTCAAGGTATTTCCTTTCTGTGTCCAACTTATTATTGAATTTTAAGATACATAACAGATTTAATTTAAGTTACACAACACTGGGCGAAACAGAATATATTTCTCAGTCATTGGTTCAAACCTTTTCATCATAAAGCACCCTTTGATTATTTTTCCTAGCATGGGCTCCATACAAAAAGAGTAGCATGAATCAATTATATTTGTTAGCTAATATTTAATTTTCTTCATTAAAAAAGGACAAAGATAAGACTTTAAGATCACCAGTCATCTTACCAATTTGAGTTGCTATAATACTAATCAAAAAGAAAGAAATGGTTATTCTCTGATGTCTTACTAAGAAGTAATTGTATATTATTATTTTTAATTTATTTTTTAATTGTATATTTTTAATTAAATTTTTTACTGACTATAAAAGTAATATGTATTTATTTTAGAAAATCCATTAGGTCTTATCCTACCTGATCCTCTAGATGTGTGGTTGGAAAGTATTTTAAGGAATGGGAGGGTATTTCAATTTAATATCTGTTTACCTAACAATCACTAGGAAATTGTACTTGGAAAGAAAGTAAAATCTATAATTGTTAAAATGAAATTTCAATGGCATAATTGTTTATTCTTTTCTCCCTTCTAAGAATTACTAAAAATGAATTTTCTTTTAACTTGGATGCACATTGATGTGGAAAAGACTCTATCAACCTATCACTTCCCTTGCTTTAACTAGATTTTATTAAAATACAAGGCAAGGAAAGGAAGTTATGCTCTTATAATTACTACCCTAGTATCTTCTAATATGATTGTGGCTCAAAGGAGGCAATGTGTTCCAAAGAATAATATCACAAATTATGTTTTTCAGAAATAGAGTGTAAAAAGACTTTTATTTCTTTTAAAAAAATCACAAAGAGATAAAAAGGACACAATTTAGAATAGCTAAAGTGTAAAAAGATTAAAAATACAAATTGTTGGTGATGACGTGGAAGAGTTAGAACTCTCATACTCTGTTGGTAGGATGTCAAATGGTACAACTACTTTGGAAACCCGTTTGACAGTTTCTTGAAAAGTTCAACGTACCTAACACATGATCTAGCCATTCACTCATAGACGTTAACCCAAGAGAAATGAAAATATATGTCTCAAAAAATCATATACACAAATGTTTATAGCATCTTTATTCAAATATCCCCAAACCAGAAACGATCCAAATGTCCTCCAACAAATGAATGGATAAAGATAATGAGATACATACCTATAATGAAATATTACTCAGCCATAAAAGAGAATGAAGTGCTGGCCAAGCAGCATGATGGATGCATCTGAAAACCATCATGCTGAATGAAAGAAGCCAGGCTGAAAGAAATTCATCCCCTCTGACATTCCATTTATAGGAATTCTAGAAAATGCAAAAAGGAGAGTAGTGGTTGCCTGGGAATGGCAGGGATTGGCTGTGATGAGGCTGTGATTGGCTGTGATGAGGAAACTTTTAGAGGTAATGGGAATATTCTGAATCTTGACTATAGTGGTGGTTCCTTGGGTGTGTATCTGTCAAGACTCCTCAGATTGTAAGCTTCCAATGGATGTAGTTTACTGTACCTTAATAGAGTTGAAAAATAAGCATTTATTTTTTTAAGTGAAAATACAGCTTTTTTTATGATAAGCACTTGCCAAAAATAAGCCACTTCATTTTTAGCATTTGAGCCTTTAAAAAGTCTCTTTGCTGAACAGTTCTCTCTCTTATCATGGTCTGCGGCTCATCTAGATAAAACATGGCAATTTCTGGCAAGTGACTGTATTTTGTTTTGGAATGAGAATCTGGCTTTGAAGATAAAGAATTTTTCCAATATGTTAATGGACAGTGATATTCAGGGATACAGGTTTAGAGGAAATCTTTAGGGGATTGTCAATCCACAGCCATAAGAATTTTTATTCCCTTATAAAATTACCTTTATTTCCTGTGACAGGTCTCATTTACTACCATTTCCCTTAAAAGTAATTAATAATAATATATTAATAGTTAATTTATGAAATGATAAAGCTGAAAAGTGCTTCTAATGTATTTTAATGTATTACCCAGATAAGTGAAACTTCTATTTGACTCTGTTATGAAAGTAGTATTCACCATCTCAAGCTTTAGCACGTAGCCCACTAAATTAGCTATTATGTAATTTTATTATAATCTTCAAAGGTATTTGTAATATACTTACTGAAATTTCTGAAAAATATTTTGAGACTATACCCTCTGGAACCTCTAAGTAAAAATTGCACCTCAGGAGATAACTGTCACTTTTATTGTATTTTTAAATATCTTCTTTCCTGGAGATTATCTGTTTTTCTAGTAGGATAGCACCAACTTGTATAAACTCAAGGAGGAAAATTTGCTTGATTCTTTTGTAGAGTGTTCCATTCAGGAATATTCTTTTAAGTCATTTTTGTGTTCCAGCAGGCTGAGATCAGTTCTATACGGGAAAACAAAGACAGACTAAGTGACAGTACTACGGGTAAGATGAAGGGGCATTTTTGTTCCCTTGACCGATCTCTATTTCATGTTCCTCTAAGAGAGCAAAGGCCAAGCAGGGGTACCCTGTCTGGGGAAGTTGGAGAACCCAGGGTGCCACCCTAAGGCTGCCAACGGTGCACAGCCTGGTACTCTCTACTTCAGGGGGCTTTCACCTAGATTAAGGAGTCCCTGAGCTTGGGTGTGAAATATATCTCTGTTTTCATCTGTTCCTAATTTAGCATTAGCACTTCCTTCAATTATGAAGATAGGCAATAAGCCCCAGTGGTATTAGCAGATCAGTGATTCTGACACCAAGAAAATTCACAGATAATATCATATCCCCTCGCTGTTATTATAGATACCTTGAAAGATCATTTACAGTATCTCTGCTAGAAATTATGGCCGTTATTAGACCTGCTTCCAGATCTTGTTATTTGGTGTGTTACAAAGGTCGCCAATTACTGTAACCTGTACATTCTATTTTTTTTAAACATCTTTATTGGAGCATAATTGCTTTACAATGGTGTGTTAGTTTCTGCTGTATAACAAAGTGAACCAGCTATACATATACATATATCCCCGTATCTCCTCCCTCTTGCGTCTCCCTCCCACCCTCCCTATCCCACCCCTCTAGGTGGTCACAAAGCACCGAGCTGATCTCCCTGTGCTATGCAGCCGCTTCCCACTAGCTATCTGTTTTACATTTGGTAGTGTATATATGTCAGTGCCACTCTCTTCGTCCCAGCTTATTTTATGCATCTTAAAACATCGTTTTGAGATGAGGTGCATAGGCTGTAAGCTGCCAGCTAGCGGCCCTCCTCACAACTGGGCAGCAGGTTATTTCTTGAAGGGAGAGCCAACTGAGCACCTCCACGGCTGCCACAATCTAACTTTTCTACTTTTGACTCTTAAAAGACACATACAAAGAGTGTTAATGAAATCACAGTGAAAGCACACACTATCATATTGTGTTCACCAAGACACGGTTTAATTCATTGTATCGAGTCCATCCTGTTGCTTTATCCTCTAAGAATGTAGGACGGTATATGCAGAATCAATTTGAAATGTAGAGTAGATTACTTCAAAGGCCCCTTTTTGCTCCAGCATTCAGTTTCTTAGTCTGTTATGTATTTCATATGTGTTTGGAGCCCTTAACTTACAGAATTGAGAAATACTAAGAAATATTCCTGGCAGAGAACAATGTTAATATAACTGAACAGTTGTTACACCGTATACTTTAAAAGCCATCCATCATGGCTTAGAAGGAATTTTTGTTGCTTAGAATTACCCTCATGCTCCCTCCCAACCCCCTGGTTCATTCCAAGCTGACCAGACTCTTTGTCAAGAACACTCATAAAGCTGTGGTTTAGACACCAGACATGATTAGTAAGCATCATTTTGTATCCTTCCAAATTAAGATTAAAGTTTTCGGGCTTCCCTGGTGGCGCAGTGGTTGAGAGTCCCCCTGCCGATGCAGGGGACACGGGTTCGTGCCCCGGTCCGGGAAGATCCAGCATGCCGCGGAGCGGCTGGGCCCGTGAGCCATGGCCGCTGAGCCTGCGCGTCCGGAGCCTGTGCTCCGCAACGGGAGAGGTCACAACATTGACAGGCCCGCGTACCACAAAAAAAAAAAAAAAAAAAGATTAAAATTTTCATCCTTGCATTAAATGGCTTGAGAAAATTTTTAAATAACAGTAGAAATTTGGATCAGTGCTATTCAGAGTGTGGTCTCTAAACTGTTGCCAGTCTAAAATAACTAAGGAGTTTAGAGCAGAAAGTCATCCAGCCAAGCACACTGTTTTGCCCACCTGACAATTTTGTTTCCATAGGAAGACTTTCTGGATGAAGGAAGCAGTACATTGAGTGACATTCTGGAGGACGTTTCTTGTCTTGTCTCAATGAGAACTTTGAGTAGCACAGCTTTAAAGGTTATTTCAGCATGATAATCAGTAGAATCTCAAATAGTTCTGGTTTACCAACAGTGTTTACTGTGGGATTCAGAGAAGGCTGTTTCATGCTGGGGTGGTCAGAGAATGCTTTAAGGAAGAGGCAGAGTTTGCCATGAGTCTTGAAGGATGCCTAAGAGTTATCTAGCCAAAGAGATGCTACAAGGGCAGTCGTATGGATGAAGAATTAAAGAAGCAGCCTTGCGTTGAGAATATAGAGGATGTGATAGAAGCGTTGAATCTGATGAAAATGGGATACTAGAGAAAAACATCAGGAGTTATACACCTGAAAAAAAGTAGATTGGAGCCAGATCCTATTGGCCTTAATCCAGATGAAGGAATTTGGAGGTTATTTTTAGAGGGAGAGCAATTAAAGCACTTGAACCAAAGGAATGACCCTATCAAAGTATGTTTTAGGAAGATTAGTCTGACAGTGTTGTTGGTACAGGCTACGTTTTCACTAGAGGAGAGAGAGAGAGATTTGTTAGGAAGCCATTTGTAGAGTTACCAAGTATGGTGATGAAGTTTGAACTAGAGTGGTGGATGTGGGAATAAGAAGTGAACCAGATTCCAGAGATCTATCTGAAAGGATTCACAGAATGGGATGTATTAGGCATGGGAGGAACAAAAAACCACCAAGGTGTGGCACTTGATTAAGTGAAGGGAAAATGTGTGACCGAATCCATCAGTTTTCAGATGTGCTTATTTGTATCCAGGCACCTAGTATATGTGTTAGGGGAACGCCAGTAAGGAAACCCCAGTACCTGAGAATTGCTATTCATCTATCCAGCTGCAGGGGGCTTTCATTCATAGTCTGGACCAGGAAGAACAACTGGACTGGGTAGAAAGTGAGTTTGTAAGAGGTCAGAGAAATAACAGTTTAATTTTTAAAATATTATTTTAAATTGCCTGTCTCTTTTCCAAGGCGCTGATAGCTTATTGGATATAAGTTCTGAAGCTGACCAACAAGATCTTCTGGTCCTACTGCAGGCCAAAGTTGCTTCTCTTACCTTACACAATAAGGAATTACAAGATAAATTACAGGTAGGTAAACAGATTGCCAACACAGCCTGTTCTGTAGGGTTCGAGCTATTGGGTTTTACAGGGTTAGTCGGGTGATATTTTGTTTTAGACATCATTAGTTTCTTCTTTTTAAAATATAATTAGCCTTAAGCATTTTATAGTTTCAAATTGTTTGTTTCTTGAGAGAGTTTATTCATTAACTATTTTTGTAAATTGGTAAATTATATGTGATTATATACATAGTATGATATATATGACTATATATATATATATATGTACACACACACATATATATGATTAGTCAGTTATTCACTTAGTAAAGTTGATCATTTAGCAGATTTAAGAACTTGATAAGAAGTAGCTGTACTAAGCCCATTGTCCCTCTTGGCAACTACAGTAATATGAGAAACAAAGGAAAAATTTGAGTCGGAGGCTCTTCAGCCAAAACAGATCTCACATTTTTAAAGTGGCACACACATAATCTGTCCTGAGAGGGCACAGAAGAAGCTTAGTCATTAGTCCGACTCCCGCGTCCCGGACCGTATTTTTTCACGGGGCAAGAGGACGCGTGCAGAGCCATCCTGCTGCTCTCCCACGTGTAAGGTTTGGAATCACTCTCTCACTGCAGTTGCTTGCTCATCTAACCCCACCTTTGGTGCTATTTCATTCTTGCCTTTTTTTCCCAGGCCAGAACACCCAGGGAGGCAGAAGCAGACCTGAGCTTTGACTTTTACCATTCTGCTGAAACTGACCTGGCCCCATCCCTGGGCAAACCTAGTGAAACCCCTCCTCCAGACTCCAAACCATCTCCATCTGTCTTAACACATTCCTTGAGTAAATCCACTATCGACAGCGATGTCAGAATCCAGCAACTACAGGAGATTTTACACGACTTGCAGAAGAAATTGGAGAGCTCTGAAGCAGAGAGGAAAGAGCTGCAGGCCGAGCTCCAGGCCAGAAGGACAGAGTCGGTGTGCTTAAACAACTCGGAGATTTCAGAGAACGGCTCCGACCTCAGCCAGAAACTTAAGGAAACTCAGAGCAAGTACGAGGAAGCTATGAAAGAAGTTCTGAGTGTGCAGAAGCAGATGAAACTAGGCCTGGTCTCACCGGAAGGCATGGATACTGACTCAGGCCTCCGTGAGCTGAGGATCACAGAGGAGGAAATAGATGTGCTAAAGCGGGATCTCCAGAACGCACTGGAAGAAAGTGAACGAAATAAAGAGAGAGTGAGAGAGATGGAGGAAAAGCTTGTAGAGAGGGAGAAAGGGGTGGTTATGAAGCCACCTGGGGAAGAGTACGAGGAAATGAAAAGCTCATATTGCTCGGTGATTGAGAATATGAACAAGGAGAAGGCATTTTTGTTTGAGAAATACCAAGAGGCCCAAGAAGAAATCATGAAATTAAAAGATACACTGAAAAATCAGACGACCCAGGAGGCGGGTGATGAAGCTGGGGACATGAAAGAGGCCATGAACAGGATGATAGATGAACTCAACAAGCAGGTGAGTGAGCTGTCCCAGCTATACAAAGAGGCCCAGGCCGAGCTGGAGGATTACAGGAAGAGGAAATCTCTAGAAGACGTCACAGCTGAATATATCCATAAAGCAGAGCACGAGAAGCTGATGCAAGTGACCAGCATCTCCAGAGCGAAGGCTGAAGAGGCACTGTGTGAAATGAAGTCGCAGTATTCCAAAGTGCTGAGTGAGCTGACCGAGCTCAAACAGTTGGTAGACGCACAGAAAGAGAACTCTGTCTCCATGACGGAGCATGTGCAAGTGATAACCACGCTGCGGACCACTGCCAAAGAGATGGAGGAGAAAATAGGCAGTCTTAAAGAGCACCTTGCGAGCAAGGAAGGGGAGGTGGCAAAGCTGGAGAAACAACTCCTAGAGGAGAAGGCAGCCGTGACCGACGCGATGGTGCCCAGGTCTGCCTATGAGAAGCTCCAGTCGTCTTTGGAAAGCGAAGTGAGTGTGTTGGCCTCAAAATTAAAGGATTCCATGAAAGAGAAAGAGAAGGCCCATTCAGAGGTTGCCCAGATTAGAAGTGAGGTCTCACAAATGAAAAGGGAAAGGGAAAACATTCAGACTCTCTTGAAATCCAAAGAGCAAGAAGTAAATGAACTTCTGCAAAAATGCCAGGACGCTCAGGAAGAGCTTGCAGAAATGAAGAGAGATTCTGAAAGCTCTTCAAAACTGGAAGAGGATAAAGACAAGAAGGTTGGTGAGACTGTATTGCTGTTGAATTTCTAGCTAGTATACGCTAGGACTTTCAACCTTCACTTACTGTGGTTAACATTTTTACCATTTGTAAGCACTAACCTATTGTGAATGGTCAGAGGCTCCACACATGACTCCCTCTGTCCCCAAAGCCATGTTAAAAATAGCAGCGTGGACATTTATTTAAAAAAAAAAAAATACTCATCTTCTACTGCTTCCCTCATACCAAAGCATTTTCACATGTGTGGTACATGTTTTCCCTTTAAAAATTATTTTACAGAAGCCCTGCCAAGTGTCAGGGATCAGAAGTGAACCCACCAACTGAGAAGCATTTGTGACCCATCTTGAACTTCTACTCCGTTGGAATCCAGACAGATTCCTCTGTCATATGAAAACCCAATTACTCCCAGACTTGATATTGCTTCCCTAAACCCCACGAGCTTTCCTCTGAGTCAGTATAAAACCCTCCCCGGGCCCCATTTTCAAAGGTGTACAGGATAATAAGGCAGGAAGTGTGAGGGGCAGGCGATGCGAGATGGGCTGAGTGGGGAGGAAGGAGGAAAGTAAAGGGAAAAGTGGATGATGCTTCCGTGCCTGGATCTGCTCTGCATTCCCGGTCTCCTGGGTCAGATGTTCTGAATGGCATTCATTAGAGCATTTTTTATCTTTTATTCCTTCATTATAATGAATGTTTCAAAAAGAGCTCCTGAAGCCAAGAGACGGGGTGGAGGTGGGCGATTGTCTTCACTACGAGGCAAGATGCCCGAGATACCAGGGTTTCTAAAACTTATTCCTGACTGCCCACGTCAGCAATATGGAGCAAGACCTAGCTGTCTCCAAATAAGGAATACCTGAAATCCTGTTTCTGATTTATTTTTTCAACCGTCCCCCTTCTAAGGGTGAACGAAGGAAATCCATGTCACAGCTTTTGTTACCTTTTCAGGCCCCAAAACACAGTCTCTCATTCGGGGGGCTCTTGTCTGCATGGAATGGCCTTAGAGGGCTTTGTTTGGTTTGCCTGATTTTATCTGTTTTTATCTGATTTTATGTTTCATTTTATGGCTTTTCTTTTAAAAATAACAAAGGGGTTGCTGCAGTCCCAGAGGCCAGGAGAGGCTATGTTACAGGTTGAGAAATAGGTGGAGTCTTGCTTCTGCCGTCACGTTCTTGCCTACTGATAGAGCTTTCCTTTCTCGCCAGATAAACGAGATGTCGAAGGAAGTCGCCAAGTTGAAGGAGGCCCTGAACAGCCTCTCGCAGCTCTCCTACGCCACGAGCTCGTCCAAGAGGCAGAGCCAGCAGCTGGAGGCGCTGCAGCAGCAGCTGGCTGTGAGTGGGCGTGTTTCTGCGGCCTGGCTGGGGGTGTGGGGAGACAGAGGGCACACCAGGGGGAGCGGGGAGCCAGCGGGCAGACGCCCAGCCTGAAGGCGTGTTGCCGCCTCAGTGCGCAGCTGACTACAGACTTCTGTGATGAAGGCCAGAGAGGGAGCGGATGGATTTCTCAGTCATTGCCTGCAGTGCGATGGGTAACATGTATCAGTGAGAAGGAAGGGAGGAGTCCACAGGACAGTGGGAGGAGGCCTCTTGTTCGCTCTTCCACTCGCTTTTTACCCTTTCTCCATTTTTCTGCCATGGTCGTCACTGTCTCTGGCAGCGGCGAGAGCTGTTTCTTATTAGGGGCCAGGATCTCTGGTAGTTGTATGTCTACATGTCTGAAGCTGCTTCTTGGCCTCTCTCCTGATTTCGCCCAGGAAAGCCCTTTCACGTCTGTATTCGTTTCCGATGGCTATTGTAATACAGCGACACAAACTTGGTTTAAAACAACACGAACTGATTACTACAGTTCTCGAGATCCATACGTCCGAAGAAACTAGTTTCACAAAAGTAAAGGTGCCAGCAGGGCTGGTTCCTTCTCGAGGCTTTAGGGGAGAATCCATTTCCTTGCCTCTTCCGGCTTCTAGAGTTTGCCTGAATTCTTTGGCTCGTGGCCCCTTTCTCCATCCCCAACGCATATCACTCCAGCCTCTGATTCCGTCCTCCCATCTCCTCCTTCCACCTTTGACCTTCTTGCCTCCCTCTTATAGGACCCTGGTGGTTACGTTTTAGATCCACCCAGATAATCAGGATAATCTTCCTTTCTATCTCAAGATCCTTAATCTGCAAGTCCCTTTGGCCTTATAGGTCACACTCCCAGGTTCTACGGATTAGGACGTGGGCATCTTTGGAGGGCTATTAGTCAGTCTATCACAATGCCTGTCAAGTTTTAGTCCTTGAGGGTATGTTACATTTTGCACGTGAAGGTTAGTCTATCCTGGACTGTCTCTAGCTTCCATTTACAAACAGGACCTGGATTTTGTGATTTCTTCAGTACAGACTCAATACTGGTGAATGTAGTTTTCTACAGTTCTTACTCCGGCTGGCCACAAAGTACAAAACCAGCTTTGCTTGTGTCGCCAGCTCTACTAGAGCAGTGGAGGAGTAGTCAGGGAAGGAGAAGTTGCTCTTGACTGTGTTTTGCAGGTCATTTTTCTGATCAAGTGATTATCACAGACTTGTAGATAAAGTACTAATGATTTATACAGTCATTCTTATTCAATATGCATTTAATGAGCTTTTATGTATCAGTAATATACAAGGTGCTGATGATATAAAAATGAGTAAGACACAGTCCCTGCCTTCAGTGTAGTAAGCGTCCATTGATAGGTGCCCAACGTGCTGTGGGCATAGAGAGGCAATGTGCTCACCCAATCTGGGTGAGTCTCTGAAGGCTTCCTGCAGGAGGCGATGGTTGTGCTGAATCTCAAAGAGATGAGTAGGAGGCAGCAGGGACTGGGATGTGGCATTTAGATGGCCCGTGGTAGCCATGGCAACCACAGTTCCAGTGGAGGGGTGGAGTATGGATGGCCAAGGCTTGCTGCTGGAGAAGTGACTAAGGAGCTAGGCGTCTACCGGGGCTGAAGAGTCACAGCAGGAGGCAGGGGAAGCCTAAAGCAGGTTTGCTGCAAAGATGGGAGATGGTGGTGAGGGAGTGGGATGCTTTCAACTGAGATCTCAGAGGTAATGACTGAAGCAGGGCTCTGACCATAAGAGCGGGTGGCTGGAAGGAGGGACAGGTCATGAAGCTGAGGTCGAGGGACTGAGAGGCCAGGGTGGTGGGTGGCTCATCCACGTGGATACTGAAGTCAGCCAAGTGATGACAGAAGCAGAACCGGAAAGGAAGACAGTGATCAGAAGACAAAGCTATAAATGATGGAGTGGAGGCAACCAAGAGGTGGGAGGAAACTGCAGAGAGGGCTACCAAGCGTACCTTCTACTGGCAGGAACTTCAAAGAGGTTTCAAAGGGTTTCCTTGAATAGGAAGGACGCCTCACATCTGACACTGTTGGGGAGGAGGTGAAACTGGCTACTGATAGACTTCGGTAGATTTTTAAAGTGATCCATATATGATAGTCTAAATTTCCATCATGACGTAGACAGAAAGGCCTCTTCTTAGACGAGTTAAGAGCTGAGTTGAGAACCTTGAAATAGTCACTAGGAGGAATTGGAATTATAGCTCAACAAGGAGAAATAAAACCATTAACAGCTGTGCTGAGGGGCCATTTGAGGTTGGTGCCGTCACCCTGTTCACCTCCTTGGTACGCAGACAGCTAAATCATTGAATTCCCCGGGCATTATACGCCACTTGGCTATATAGAAGGTGATCGATAACTCTCTTTAAAAGAATAATTTTTTAAATTAATAAATATTTGGTCATTGTATGTGATAGAAAAGTTGGAAGATACAGCAAACTCTGGAAAAGCTACTATAAATTAAAACTGCCTATAATCCAACCACTCAGAGACAATAACTTTTTGCATTTGACAAAGTAAATAGTTCCTTGCACTGTTTACTTTGTGCGAATATATCTGTATTCTTTGCCTGAGTATGTATATATATTCTTAAACAAATTCGGGATTATCATATCTACTTTTTACATGAATTTTCTTCTAGGGTTGACATACCAAGATGTGAAACAGGTAGCTTTTTTCCCTAAGAATATTGACAAGCATTCCAAACTACACAATCCTCTGAGTCCACAGCAATTTTGAAAGCTTCCTATGCTGGTTGGTGGAAGGAATCACTAGGGTAGCGTTTGGCCGCAGCTTTCTCCTAGTTTTTTTGTTTTTTGTTTTTAAAGGTCTCCTAAGCTCTTGAACAATGTCAAATTGTCTCTTTCTAGGAGTGCAAGAAACAACACCAGGAAGTGATATCAGTTTACAGAATGCACCTTCTGTACGCTGTGCAGGTATGGTGTCTGGGGATCCTAAAGAGATACCACAGCAGGTCTTGCCCAAACGCCCATCATGAAACTAGTAGAGCAGATGAGAATTTGAGAAGACAGCTCTTCATTGGAAAGCTTTTTAAAACACCTTCTGCTTTGCTTTGGATTTTGTGTTGGGAGCCCCATGCCCTGTTAACCAGGAGCAGCCTCCTTTGTTGGGAGCCTGAGGGAGGGTGTGGGGGCAGCTGCCCATCAGGAGGAGGGGTCTAGGTGTTATTTTCCGGGTTTGATGATATTCTCAGAGCCATCCGTACCATCTCACTACTGCAACTGTTGGTGCTTTGGCTGGCTGGGCTCACATTCGCTACTGAGATGCCAGAAACCCTTTGCTGAGGAGTCTGGTAGGAGACCCAGCCCCCTCATCCTCCGGAAGAAAAAGAGCAGGGTTGTGTCTTTGACTCAGCTCCTCCTAGAAATGTGGGAATGGGTAGGGCCAACATTTCCTTGAAGATCGGGGAGGGTGGGAGGTCAGTGGGAAGCCAAGGGCTCATCCCAGCCAGCCATCTCACTCCCCAGGTGAGGCAGTGCCAGGATTTAGTTTCTGAGTGTTGTTTTCTTTTGTTTTGGTTTACACCTTTTTGATGTCATTTTTCTAACAAGTGCTTTAGCTTTTCAGTGTTCAGCCTCCCCTCTACCTCTGTTGTTTTCTGCATTTTGAAGTTCCTGTGGGGCAACAGCCTCTGCCCTTCATTCACCTCCTTCCTCGCTCCCCCATGGTCCTGCGTGATTTGTGTCCAAGTCATGATATCGTAGGTTATTCTAATGAGTGTCTTTTGTTGGAATTTCCTAGGGCCAGATGGATGAAGATGTCCAAAAAGTACTGAAGCAAATCCTCACCATGTGTAAGAACCAGTCCCAGAAGAAGTAAAGTGGATTCCTTGGCAGGACACTGGCCCCTTGTTGTCCACCTTGTGTTAGATCCGGAGTTGCTGGCAACCACTGCCATTGTTCTCATTCGTGGTATCACTGTGACCCTTGTAATAGAGCTTCTTCCCTTTCCAGAGGCTTCTTTCTGAGGATGGGTCCCAGGAGAAGACTGTCCTCCTCAGAACCGCTTAGAAACTTCGAAGCAGCAGAGGTGAAAGATGCTGTCATCCCTTCTGATTCCAGAGCTGGGATCGTCCACGCTGGTGGCAGGCATCCTCCTTGGTACCTGCCCAGCTGAGGGACTTCATCACTGAGTGACACATCGATGCTCCACGCAGCCGTGCTTCCGTGCCTACACTCAGGCTGTGCCGTTCAGCACAGCAGTGTTCTTTTTGCCTTTGGTTTCCTATCCCCCAAACATGACTTAATTTCTAACCAAATTAGTATGGCACTAGTTATGAGCTGCATGCTTTAGACCCTTTATCGTGGTATCTTGTGGATTTAAAAATGCTAATTCCATCTTTTTCTTCCCCATCTGCCTTATATTTCTCACCACCCCGCTTATCAATCTTATAGTTTGATGAGCACTGTTAACTTAGATATGAAGTTTTAAAACAAAAGCAAATTGCCCTTAAAAGTTCTTTTTAAGTAAACCGCTGACATATTGCAAATTTTCTATGCAAACTTGCCTCCTGCTGTTTCTTATGCACGAAGCTCAGGAAATCCAAACATTTGTGTTCAACAAGGGATAGTAAATTGCGTGTTTACAGCCAAAAGAAATGCCTCATCATTTTTAACCTCAATTTTTTAAAAGTGTTTTTTTTCCTCTGCAATATTTTTATTGGCTCTTAAAGATGTTTTCATATCTAAATCCCTAAGTAAGTGAAATTTACATTAGACTGTATCAGCAAAATATTTTCTAGGTAATCATGTTTAAGACTTTAAAAAGTATATAACTTTTTCCTCCGGGTTTTCAGCTAGAGCAGGAGGTGGCTCTGTATTCCAAACTCAAAATGAGCTGCCACCAACACCCCTAGACTTCCTGCCATCGTGTTCTCAGAACTGTAGCACGTCTCTGAATATAGTAAATTCTCTTTTACCCACTGAATATTTTTGAATGCCCCAACTCTACCAGCACCTGTAAATTATCTCTAGAAGGGCTGTTAGTACCAACGAGTTTTTCAACTTTGAAGCAAAAAATCCTGGTAAACATTATGGTGCCTAGCTGAGGTCTTGGGAGAAAACATTCCTGTTCACTTTACTTTCAGGTTAACTTGCTTGCAGCTTCCCTTACAGCCTTGATCTTATTGAGAGATGTAAACTGAATTACGGAAATCTCTAAAGTATAGAACTGAAAGCATAGGCCGGCTCCGACAGGGCCGCCTGGGCTCAGAGGCCACTTGGTAGCACTGTGTTGGATGAGGACCAACGACAGCGAAGCAACACCGGCTTTCGAGCCTGGTGTTACCTTTCTTAAGTTGTTTATAGTTCGGCAATTTCGAACACCCTCCAAAGAAAACTGTGAAAGGACTTTCTGTCACAGCACTTAAGAAAACACAAAACCATCCCCCTCCCAGCTCCACACAGAAATGCTGCAGAGTTGTAAAACTTGAGACATTTTGTAGGACGCCTGACAAAGTGTAGCCTTTTATCTTGTTTCAGGATGCATATTTATTACAAGTACTCTGGTTAAATATTGAAAAGTTACATGCTGTAGTTTAGCATTTTGCCTTTGTAATTTACAGAAAGTATTGCAGAAAATAAACTTTTGTTTCATTTTGCATCTCTGTGGTTGATTTGGGGCACCTTCGTAAGCATGCCTGTACAGCTTCTGAAGTTCAGCTAACTAGCATTTCGGGTCAAAGGTTTTTATACCTTGTGTTGTGCTCCACCGGTGGCCGTTGTCCGCAGTCTCTCACACAGTGTGTCATATCATTTCGTCCCCTAGCTCCTGGGGTCACCTTGAACTCTACCCCAAGCAACACCCACTTTTGGGCACTTGCATCACAGTTCTTTCATTTAAAATTGCCTCTCAGTTGATCTGTAGTCTTTTTTTTTTTTTTAACTATTTAAAAGCTTCCATTAGATTTTTTTTCTCTTTTTTTTCTTTGCTTTTTTGAAAAAGTAATACATACACGTGGTTTTTCTTACATTATCGTATCACATTACAAGGTTAATTCATTCCTGAAAAAAACTCCTGTAGGGTGAATTCTTCCAGGTTGAAAGCATAATTAAAACACCAGATGACAATGAAATGGGTGCAATTATTTAAATAGCTAACATGGTTCTTCATAACACAGCATAACGAGGCCATCTCCCTTCATTAAGGCCATTTCCCTTGCTAACAATATGATTCTACTGCCTCGCTCTCAGCTCCTGTTGCCAAGGCATACCATACATACTCAACTGAACCCTTCCTCAAGCCCCACCTCTGGGAGGAAAAAGGACAAAAGAGATCAATGAAAATAATGCAAATAGTGTCTGAGGTTAGTACTATTTTAAATTATCCAGTGTGCACCCTGAAAGGAGAACTCACCTCAAGAGAGGCCAACCATTCAACTCAGAAGATGATTTTTTTTTTTTTTTTTGCCACGCCTCCCAGCACGCGGGATCTTAATTCCCATACCAGGGATCGAACCTGCGCCCCCTGCAGTGGAAGTGTGGAGTCTTAACCACTGGGCCACCAGGGAAGTCCCAGAAGATGATTTCTTGGTGACACTCAAATGAGCACTTAACCTAGATAAATCCAAACCAGACTTCTTAAATGAAAAGAACTGCCTCATATGCCAAAGGCAGGGTCTGAAAAGAAACTGTCATCCTGCAGCAGTGGTTATATATCACGGGATATAATTGTAGGACAAATGAGATAAACTGAAAATAAATCTCTCCTCCTGATTCTTAGTTTACCACCCCAGAAGCAACAGCTGTTAAGTTTCTTGAATGACCTAACACATTCTATGTCTGTGTGTACATGTAGGCATGTATTTTATTGTCCCCTTTAAATATAGAAATTTCTGGAGCATACTTTTTCCACTTACAACATCCTGGAGACTGTTCTTTGTCAGCACACACATCCTTTTTAACTGCTGCATAATGCTTCATAGTACGTGCTTTGTTTTTTTTTTTAAACTAACTCCTCATTGATGGGCAATTAATCTGCTTCCAGTATTTTACAGCCCTAAAAATGATGTGATGGCTATGCTGTGTATGCATATGTGTGAGGATCATTTGGATAATTTTCAAATTGCCCATTTTCACACTAGCTTCCATCATGTGATACAGGAATGCAGAGGATAAAAGTAGAATAGCGTATGGGTCATCACAGTGAGTGGGCAAGAATGGCCTTTTTCTTCACATTGGTTACATAAGAGTCATCAACTTGTTTTTCTTACATAGACTTTCAGACTGACTCCAAAGCCTTTAATAATTAAACCCACCAATCTTGAGATAAACACATGATATGCCACGTGGGGAAAATGCTCCCAGAACATGTTGATGCACAACCTTTTGCCATGTGGCCTAACTGTGGAATGCTGGGTGCTGACAGCAGTAGAAACACCATCCAGCAAAGATGGGGGTGAGGCAAGGTTTAAAAGGCAGACTGCAAGGCAAAGAGTGAGCTGGAAAAAGTAACGGAGGCATTCACAGGAGCAATTTCTGTTCACCTGTTCAGGGCAGAGAGCTGTCCAGCATTCGGGGAGTGTGCGGCATATTTGTGAAACAAAGGACAAAAGCTCAACTATGACGGTCGCCATAATTGGGCCATAGGAGCTGGTTGAGGGAGCGATCAAAGTGGGTTCCAGGGGATGGAAAGGCTCCCTTGAAGAGTAAATCCCCAAGAGATGGAGGCGAGTAGAAGAGAAAGGAAGAGACGTTTCTGTATATTCAGTATAAACCAAGCCCTAAAAATGGGAAGAAACAATATTTCAGGAACGGCGACTGGATGTACCAGATTATTAGTGGAGGATGTGGAGGGGGGAGAGAGAGCAGGACACAGCCAAATAACGTAAGCTTTTAACAAAGGAGGGGGGTAGTAAGAGTTACCTATCTGTCACCTTCAGATGTTTTTAAACCTATACTTTTATTTTTTGTTTCAAAAAAAACCTTGAGGAAACGTTATTGAGATCAATACTTCAGTTTCAAAATCACAGTAAAAATGGAGTTTGTTGTTCCAGTTTTGAATTTTTCAAATTTTAGGAACATTTTTAAACAAAACTTGAAAAGATTTTACACTGAACACTCATGTGCTCATCACCTAGAGTCAAGCATTAACATTTTACTAGACTTGCCTTGTATGCATGTCTATCCACTTATCTATCCCAATTTCCATCCATTAGTCTATGTTTCTTTTTGAGACATTTTAAAATAAGTACAGAACATCCACACAGGCTACCCTGAAAATTTCAGTATACATATCATTAACCAGGTTTTAGTATTTGTTTGAAATTCTTTCTAGGTAAAATTTACATAACAATGAAATGCATAAATATTAAGTGTACCATCTGATAAGTTTTGACAAGTAAATATGCCTGGGCAACAAACCCTATCAAGGTATAGAACGTTACCATTAGCCCAGAACATCCCCTCATCCTCCTTCCTTAAAATTAGCAAAGCCTGAAGGTATATGGGACAAAATCCAGGAGAAACAAGGCACACACTTCCAGGTGCCCTCTTCCAGTGGAGTTACATGGATATAGCTAATTGTCCCAGCAGTGATGTGTGACAACACTTCGGAAGTCTGGCCAGTCAGATTAGCCCACCCAAGCCTGGGTAGCCAGGACTTTATTGGGGATCTATCAGGAAGGCTGAAGTACCTGCATAACAATTTCAGCTATTCAGATTCCAGACCCCCCAGAGCAAAGACATGCATTCATCATACATCACATTTTAAGAATGAACTATTTAATCGGATTTATACCACTTGGCCCAAAATGTCAAGCATACAAAAATGTTCTCAGACAGAATATTCTAATGGATCAGAACTCATTTCCCAGGAGCCAGTCTGAGGCCAGTCCTGAAGATAGGCATCTGTAATGAATATGCAGGTTCTGAGCAACCCAGACATGTGAATTAATCCTTTAAACCTATACATTTAAATCAAGTTAAACACTCTGGTAGGTAGAATAACACTCCCCCAAAGAGGCTCATGTCCTAATTCCCTGGAATTTAAATAGTTTATGTTATATGGCAAAAGAATAAAGTTCGCACATAGAATTAAAGTTGTTATTCAGCTGACCTTAAAACAAGGAGATTACCCTGGGTTACCCTGGTAAGGCCTGATGTAATCAAAAGGGTCTTTTAAAGCAGGAGAAGGAGTCAGAGATTTAAAGATGCTACACTGCTGGCTCTGAAGATGGAAGAAGAGCCATGAACCAAGGAAGGCAGGTGGTTTCTAGAAGCTGGAAAAGGCAAGAAAACACTTCTCCCCGAGAGCCTCCAGAAAGAACCGGTCTTGCTGACACCTGATCTCTAGGCCAGTGATGGTCATTGCAGACTTCTGACCTCCAGGACGAGGACATAATAAATTCTTGTTGTTTTAAGCTGCTAAGTTTGTGATGACTTGTTACAGCAGCAATAGGAACCCAATATACACAGAGAGGCCAGAATCTCTACTAATGGAGAGTTCCTGAAGATTACTCAGTTTATTAAGTGTTACTGAACACTAGTAATAAGCCAGGCACTGTGCTGAACGCTAAAGGCTCAGTGGTGGATATAAATCTGCTCACAAGAACCTCACATCTGGTCAGACAGGGCCTGCCACCTAGCAGGTATTCAGTATTCACTGGGTGGGTGGGTAGGTGGAGATTTAGATGGATGGATTGCCCGTAAGGCCCTGCATGACCTCCTCTTCTGCTGACCCACTCTCCTGTCTCTCTTTTCATTCTTTTTTTTTTTATTTTAATTTAATTTAATTTTATTTTTTGCGGTACGCGGGCCTCTCACTGTTGTGGCCTCTCCCGTTGCGGAGCACAGGCTCCGGATGCCCAGGCTCAGTGGCCATGGCTCACGGGCCCAGCCGCTCCGCGGCATGTGGGATCTTCCCGGACCGGGGCACGAACCCGTGTCCCCTGCATCGGCAGGCGGACTCTCAACCACTGCGCCACCAGGGAAGCCCGACTCTCTTTTCATTCTTAATTGAAACTTTTTCTGTTCTTGAATCCATTAAATTTGCTCCTGCCTCAGGGCTTTTGCACTCGCTATTAACATCTTACAATGCTCTTCTCGGCATCTGTGTCATTTGCTCCCTTATTCCCTCGTGGTCTCTGCTCAATGCTACCTTGTCAGAGAAGCCCTTCTTAGCTACACTGTATAAGCCAGTATGCCCCTCCCCACATCCACATCACTTTCTAGATCCCTTGCCTGACTTTATTTTTCTCCATATAATTTGTTACTTCCATGTCAGGTGGTTCATGCCTTTCCCAAAGCTGGACCCCTTAGCAGGGGCCTGAGACTGGCTGCAGGAAGAGGCGTTTTCCTAATTCACACAAAGTTGCTGCCTATTCCCTAAGCCACCTGCCTTTTTCTAACTTGCAGAGATGTCATATTGTTTACTAGCAGCCCTGGTAGAACAGAAGCTCTAGGAGAGTGAAATCTTCGTCGCTTTGTTCGCTGTTGCTTTCCCTAATGCTTAGAAAGAACAGTGTCGGGCACATAGCAGGTATTCAACGGTATTTTTCCTTGGATGGATGGACAGATGCATGGAAAAATTCAAAAGTAAATGGAGTGCCAAAAGACTTGTGTGTGTCACTATGAGACTCACAAGTGGATGGGATACCGTGGGAGCTCAGAAAGAAGGTATCTAACCCTGCCTTGAGAGGCTGGAAAATGTGTTTTAAGAAATTACACAGTCCAGGGACTTCCCTGGTGGTGCAGTGGTTAAGAATCGTCCTGCCAATGCAGGGGACACAGGTTCAAGCCCTGGTCCGGGAAGATCCCACATGCCGCAGAGCAACTAAGCCCGTGCGCCACAACTACTAAGCCTGCGCTCTAGAGCCCGTGAGCCACAACTACTGAAGCCTGAGACCCTAGAGTCCGTGCTCCACAACAAGAGAAGCCACTGCAACGAGAAGCCCACGCACCACAAGGAAGAGTAGCCCTTGCTCACCACAACTAGAGAAAGCCTGTGCACAGCAACGAAGACCCAATGTAGCCAAAAAAAAAAAAAAAAAAAAAGAAATCACACAGTCCAAGAGAAAGTTTATTTGGATTTCCTTGTTCTTAGGTTTCACAGTCCTTGCGTTTGGAATCATTTGGAGCTAATCACATTTGATTGGGGGTTGGAAGAGTCTAGAAGTACCCTATACACATGGTTCCTCTGTGTGATTTCTGCAACAGCAAAGCTTATGGTAATCAGGATCAAAGGAGGGTACGTGAACCCGCTGTAAAAGCACTATCCCCAGATTACTAGCATTCCATTCCAGAGTTCGTGAACAGAACTAAAGCACACTTACCACTGAGACAGGAGGCAAAGGAGCAGCATACAAATGCTAGATAATGAAGAAAGGGGGCAGCTGTTGGGACGTGATAAAGACTGGCTGGAACCAGCTGAAAACAAGGTGGCTTTGAGAACAGTCCAGTCATTGACCTTTAGCTCATTATACCTTCATTGTAATCCTAAAAATCACTCTCCGTTATGCCATGACGGTTCCGAGGTAGACCATAAAATGCCAAATAGTGGGCAGTGACCCAATTCCTGGGAAATCCCCACCCTACCCCAAAATAGCGAGAATATTCCTCCCACTCATTAGCCTATGAAATTACTTAATCCATACAAACCTAGGACCCCAGGCCCCAGAACCACTCTCACTTTCCAGGATGACCCCATGCCCTGGGGCTGCTCTCACTTTCTAAAGCAGTCTGCATTCTGCCTATTGAATGTGTATCTCTCTCAATAAATACCCATTGCTTTCCCTTTACTCTGGCTTACTCTTGAATTCTTTCCTGCATGAAGCCAAGAACCCCTCCCTTGGTGATCGGTCCTAAGGACACCTGCAGGTCCCAGGATGTGACATTTTCCCCCCTGCAACTCTATAACTAACTTTACATTTGCAGCCAGGGTTAAGATGTAAGGAAAGAAAAAGTGTCACAGAGGTTTAGAACTCTAAAAGTCTTTAAAGTTCTTTTCATTTGATTTCTAATTTTACAGATGAGCTAATTAAATGGAGGCGGAGCCAGAGTGTTGGCTTTAGGGAATGGGAACTCAGTGACTGTTCGGGTACCACATGTCCCCCTCACAAGGATCAGCAAAGCAAGTGTTCAGGAAAGAGAAGTTATATTTAATACACTTAGAAACAACTTCATAGCCATTTCCTAGAATGACAGAACATTAAAACTTTCCATTTCATTGAAGGCCAACTTGTAACAAGGATAAGGGAAATAAGTGTTGGAGAACAGGAAACCAGTTCTGCCCTTTATCCCCATACATGTTAAATATTCATATTAAATATTCAATATTATGTTCATAGAATCATAAAAATCTGTGGTTTATCCTCGCAGAATCCTGGAACTGGAAGGGGTTCTAGAAAGCAAGTGGTACAAACACTCAATGTACTGGCAAGAAAATTCAGTCCCCTAGGCTGTGACTTGCCCCAGGGCACACAGTCCAAAGCAGAACCCTGACATCCTGAAGCCCAGCTCAAAGCTCTCATCATCCTTTCATGCTGAGGGTTCTTTGAGAAAACAGAGAATAAAAGGGGTGGGGTCTTTCTAAAATTTTGGCTCAGGGGTTTGAGGGTACAGATTTAAACTTTAATAGGCCATCCAGGTTTTAGTTAAGAGATATTAAAGCAAATTCACTTAAATAGCTCCTCCAACCTAACTTCAGAAAGGCTATCTTGGCAGTCTTGGATCCACAGCAATTAAACTTCAGCCTCAGAACTGGAAAGAACAAACACTGAATGTAAACACCACCTGTCAAGTTCTTGGTAAATATTTTCCTTCTTTTTCTACTGAGCCTGCTCTTGTTTGAAAAGGAGAGGGACACACCAGTTCCAACTTGACTTGTCACAGCCCCTAATTCATTGTGGGGTTCATGGCAACACCCTGAAACCCGAGGCTGCTCGAGCCAGTGATGTTCATTTGGTTATTAACCACAATTGCCCCTGTACCTGTCAGATCTGAGTTACTGTTACCACTGTGGGTATTTCAGGTCACTGAAGATGGGTAGGATAAGGATACACGGCGCATAACTTAGGGCTATGTGGTGTTTGCCAAATATGCCCTCTGCCCTCGAAAATATTCTCTGAACTGCTAATCATTAGCAGAACTAGTGGTCCATATCTTACGCTACTCACTTCCTGCACTCCGCTCCCTTACCCACGCGTAGCTCTAATCTTACCGGGCGTGGCAACACAGACGCTGCCAGCACCGTCAATAGTTCTATCTGAGCCTTTCCTCGCGGGCCCGGAGGACCCGAATACCTGGGCAACTGTGAGGGTGCAGGGCGCGCGGAGGGGCACGCGGGGGCGAAGAGTGTCGCCGAATACAGCCCAGTACGTCGTCGCAGCTTTAAATTGGTAAGGTCGTGGAGCCGGACGCCCCTTTCCATCCTTCGATGGGATTTACCTTCTCTTCCGGCGTCGTTATCTCCGAGAGGTCCCTTTAAGAAAAACAGTAGTGGACCGTTCAGCCGCAGCAGAGGGAAGTGTGGGGACGAAGCTAAGGTCGCCCGAGTCTCGCCCGCGGGGACCGTTAAGGCAAGGGTGCGGCGGCAGCTATGGTTTGCGGGGATGGCCCGGGATTCCGCTGGGCCGGAAGTGCCCCTCGTCGCCATGGCTACAGGCGCGGGCGCCGCCCGCAACGTTCAGTTTCCATGGTAACCCCATTGTCTCAGTAGCCAGAACTCCGGCGGCGGGCGGGAAAGGTAGAGCTGGGTGAGCTGCTCTCTTCCGCAAGGCAACCTAGCGGCGGCTTGAACGAGGTCCGAAGAGGTCAGTACACTGAAGCCGCCGGCGGAAGCCGAGCCGCCTGGCTGAGGGAGCCGGGAAGCCTAGTTCTGGGCCGTGGCTCCTCTGCCCTCGGCCAGGTACGCCGCGTCACGCTTGCCTCTCGGCCCCCTTCGCCCGCTTTTCGGGCCAGAGCCTCTGCGGCCGGGGCACCGCCCACAGGAAAGAAGCCAGGGGAAGCTCGGACGTTGCTCGGAATGTGGTGTTAAGGTTTACAAAGTTAAGGCGAGACAACGGCAGAAAATAAGGAAGCGATTTGCACTTGAGAGAGGGGGGCGATGGTGGTGTTACAATTCAGGGCCATGTGAAACCGCACAGGAACAGAATTTTGGAGTTTGAGACGTCAGAACCCCTCGCCCTGGCCACAGTTTTGAAAGTAGAGATGAGAAAGACAAATTAGTGAATCTTCCTTTCTGGTCTTTTGATTGTGAATGTTGTGGAGTCTGAGTCAGAGAGCTAGCTCCTCAGGGCTCAGGTGGGAATGAGTGACATTCTGCAGGGTGAAATGAGGAGGGACTTGGTGGGTACCAATGTTCAATAAATAACTGCATTCGAGTTCGATTTGATTTAAGCGACACGGATAGCCATGAGGGTTCAATTTAGCAGATAATTACAAATCAGATTTTTTGCCATGAGTTTCAGTCATTTCCCCCATCAGCTAATGACAGCAACCAAAACAGACGCATGTGTTTTAGCTCCTTAACTAGGATCACCTATCAAGTAGTGAGATGGCCCAAGGGACACGGAGAAGAATTAACCAACAAATACACAGTTAGTAGTGAGAGCTGGTTACCTGCAAAAACAGTATCTGACTTGAGTAGGAGATCATAGTTTTGTTGATTCAGGAGCTGTTAATGTGTTGGCTTAAGGGGTAAAAAAGGTAGGGGATTTTGGAGGTAATGTGAAGTAAAAATTAGAGGAAGGAAATTTGATTCAGGGATTTAATTTGGCAAATGTCTTTAATTTCTGCTTTCCACCGTCTCCATACATGAGTGTGTGTGTATAGTCTATTTGTGGATTTAGGATGGGTTATATATTTGGGCAGTTTCATTTTAATGCTGATAGCATCCAACAAAGGGAAAACAGAACAGACTTCTAAGCGTTTTCTTTTAAAGCTGACCTCACATGTGATTCTTGGTAGGAAGAAGATGCGAGCCAGCCCCATCCGCATCCCGACTGTCAGCAATGACACCTACTGGGACTTCTGCTTCCATCTGTAAGTATCATACTCACTCAGCGGCCTGAAACATTGGGACCTCCACTTAAAGCAAACCTTGGTGAACTTTGCATGCATATTATATAGTAGAGAAGATTGAGCTTCTGTGTTGTATGCTAATAATGGTTCTGCTCTAACGTCCATTTGTACTTGTGCAACCTATGCAAGATGGAAAACAAATGTTTTTTCCTAACTTAAGGGAAATTTCAATTTTTTTTAATAAAGATAGGTTACTTATAGCAAGATTGGTAAAGTCATGGAGAATTAAATATAGAAAAATTAATGAGAAATTGAAATTGTTTCATGAAATAAAGAGACAATAAGTAAATTAAAAATTTCACATCATAACAGCTAATCCTTATTGAGCAAATACTATGTGCTGGGCACTGTTCTAAGTACTTACGCATATTAACGCAACTAATTCCCCCAAAACCCTGTGAGGGAGGTACTGTGATTACCCCATTTTTTAGGTAAGGAATATGAATTAAAGAGAGGTTAGGCAATTTGCTCGAAGTCACACAGCTAGTAAATGCTATTCAAACTGGGCAGTCTGACTCCAGAGTCCATTCCTTAACCACTCCTCTATACCAGGGTTTCTCAACCTCGACACTATTGACATTTTGGATCCGATAATTCTTTGTTGTGAGGGCTGTCCTGTGCATTGTAGCATCCCTGGTCTCTACCTATGAGATGTCAGTAGCACTGTCCCAGTTGTGACAAGCCAAGATATCTCCAGACATTGCCAAATGTCCCCTGAGAGCAGTATCACCCTTGGTTGAGAACCATTGCTCTATACCAATGCTATCAAGTAGAAATATAACGCAAGCCACAAATGTAATATTAAATTTTTAAGTAGCCATATTAAAAGATAAAAATAAACAGGTAAATTTAATTTTAACGCCATATTTATTTATTTCAATATATCTAAAATATTACATAACGTAATTCATGAAATACGTTTTCTTCAATTAAGTCTTTGAATTTCGGTGTGTGTTTTACACCTGCAGCAGATCTCAATTCAGACCAGACACATTTCACGTGCTTAATAGCCACATGAGACTAGTAGTTAACGTATTAGTGTAATTCTATACCATCTCATAAAATATCTTAAGGTTAAGGGTTATACAAATATAAAATTGAAGTTAGAAATGTAGAGTTTACAGCAGAGTATCTTGGAAATAATCAGATAATTCATATTTAATTTTACTAGTCAGAATTCACATTTATGATGGCAACATGTAGAATAGGTTAGAAACCTAGCAGATCTTTCATTTAACTGGCCTAAGTTTTTTATTCTGACTATCCTTCCAGATATCTAACTGGTCAGTATTCTCCAGGCATGTTTCTTACCTTTCATAGCAAAATGTTCAAAGCTAGTTCAGGGCTTGGCAGTCTCAAGTCATTTGTCAAGACCTCAATGTTTCTACTTCCTTTGAGGCCCTGCTGTTGAAGCTTGCTCCCTTTGGTCTCAGCTTAATTTCATTCAAGGCTGAAATTTAAATATTTAGGGCTTATAATTTCTTTAAAAAATTATTTATTTAAATTTATTTATTTGTTTATTTATTTATTTTTGGCTGCATTGGGTCTTCGTTACAGCGCACGGGCTTTCTCTAGTTGCGGCGAGTGGGGGCTACTCTTCATTGTGGTGCGCTGGCTTCTCGTTGCAGTGGCTTCTCTTGTTGTGGAGCACGGGCTCTAGGCACGTGGGCTTCAGTAATTGTGGCACATGGGCTCAGTAATTGTGGCTCGTGGGCTCTAGAGTGCAGGCTCAGTAGTTGTGGCGCACGGGCTTAGTTGCTCCGCTGCATGTGGGATCTTCCCGGACCAGGGCTCGAACCCTTATCCCCTGCATTGGCAGGCAGATTCTTAACCACTGTGCCACCAGGGAAGCCCCTGGGGCTTATAATTTTTAATATCCAAAATTAGTAATCTCTTTGGTGACCCCAGTAGATTGAACTTCTGCTTCAGGTGGGTGAAATGTGCAGCCTACACGAAGCCTTCTATTGAGGGACTGAGCTTTCTTTCCGTGAGTTTTCTTGAGTTATGATCTCTTGTCACAGATTTCCTCCACCTTTAGTCTTTTTCAGGTATCCTAAAGGCCTTACACTTTCTTTTTCCATTCATTTGTTCATTATTTAACCAGCCATTATTTGTTTTTACTGTGAGCCAGGTATCAGGGTTTCTTAGAAACAAATGAGACTCAGCCCCAGCCCTGGTGGAGTTAACTGGCTAGGAAGCAAAGAAGACTCCGAAACAAAAGCAGGTTTTGAAAATGAGACTGTTGCGTGATTCGCACTATAGTAGAAGTTGGAGAAGACTTTTGCAAGCCCTGTAGAGGGTGTTTCTACTGCTACTCCAGTGCTAGACTTCCAGCAGAGGTGACCTTCGAGTTGGAGGAGGAGTACGGAATTCACTAGGCAGAGAACAGGCAGGTTCAGCACCTGTCTCCTGATTACAGCGCTGCGCCAGCCTTCCCTGGCTTTTCCATTGAATTTGCATGTCTTCTGAAAGCACACTTCCGTTTGTGGGCAGAAGGCAGTCCTGCTGGGCCCTGGGCTTGGGCCTGAAGAAATGTTGCTGTCCTGTCCACATAACCTGGTTTGCCCACATGCCTAAATAAACATAGGTTATTTAGAACAGGACTCTGGATGGGTATTAGGATGTCATTTATTCGAACCTGGTGTAAAAGGTTGCAATTGACATTTACTTTCCTTCTAAATTTTCCTCTTTGTTTTTCTTACAATGAAAATTCATTACTTATCTAATCAGTGGAAAAGGAAGACAAATTTTATTTTAAAAACTATACTATGGTTGAACTTTTAAAAGCTATCGTGAATACAAAGGTGATTCCTTTGGGGGAACTTATTAATAATTAAAATTTCTGTTGTTGCTTTTAATATCTTAGAATTCTATTTCTTCTGGATCACTTTATGATGTCTCTGGTAGAGTTAGGATATGGTTATCTTTTTTGTTATATAAGATTAACTCTTTGGACTTTTATCTTTATCGTACCAATTACCCATTCATAATTATGTTCAGCATCATAGTCTGAGATCTGCATGGGGTGTGTGTGTGTGTGTAAGGGGGTGGGCAGGGGGTGCTGGGGAAGAGGGAGATTTTTCAACCCACTCAGCTCTTTCTCAAACACGTTTGCTTTTTTGTTTTGTTTTTTCTAACATAATTGAGAAGGTCATTTCTCTTCTGAATCTGCACTTGACCCAGTGTGGGTTTTCTCCCCTCTCCTTGGTGGGACCACATCCTCTTTAGTTACTATTTATGTTGAAGCTTTTAAGAAATATGAAAGAAGACACATGAAGTTCTGACCTCAAAATGTTAGTTCCCTTTACCTTATTTCATTATGTCCATTTTCCCCCCTGGTTTGGATCAGAATTTTAGAACATCAAGGATCTTGGAGATCTTCCAATTCAACATCCTCACGTCATGGAGCTCATAAAATAAGAGTACCTAATGTTAAAAGAGCACTTACTAAATAGCAGGCTAAGTGATTTATGAGTATTATCTGATTTAATCCCATAACCTCATCAGGTGGGTATTCATATTGACTTCATTTTACAGTGAAGCAAACCAATAACTTACTTAGGGTCATATGGTTGGTAAGCAGCAGGGCTGCGACTCCGCCATAGGTGGGAGGTTCCCTAAATCTGTTTGATTGGAACCACTGCATTGCCGTTCTAATTCTTGGCTTTTCAGGTGACGTGAGTTCACCACCTAGCTTTACTCTACAGGTTTATTTTAGAGATCATATTCCTAGCCCCCAGTTGGGGGGGGCTCTGTCCTTCAGTGCTGCCTTGTTTGAGATATGCAGGGTTAAACCTGACTCCGTGTCCCTCTCTGGTACCCACAGGTCACAGCAAACCAAGATCCCAGAGCATCAGCAAACAGATGAGTTGTATCCCACTAGTGGGTCTGGAGAGAGCGAACAAGATGCTAAAGCCAAGGAGGAGAAGGCCATAGACCGTATGTCTCTTCCCAAAGAGAAACTGGCCCAATCCCGGAAGAAAGTAGCTCAGCTGATTAAGGGAAAAATGATAATAAAACAAAAAACTCACTGGGTTTTCCATTTAAAAATACGTCCATGACTAGAGAAGTTCTTCCTTAATTGCAGATCGAAGGACATGAAGTAGAGGAAGGTGTTATATTTCTTTATAAGTGGAAGAAAAGAAAGCAGGGCATAGTTGGTAGCCAGCCCGCCTTCGGGCTCCACACGTGGGTCGCTGTGCATGCCTCCTTGGAGTGTTTGTGCTCCTCGCTTTAAACTAAAAATTGTTTGCTTCTTCCTGTTGCTGTTTGATTACGTTAATTAAAAAATCATCTTTTGATTTCTCCTGAAAGGTTTCAGAATAATATCTTTTGGGTAACAAGAAGGCCAGGATAGTGAGGCAGGAGGCCGAGAACAAGGGTAGCCAGGCAGAGTCTAGGCTCAGGCCTGGCAAGGATATGGTGAGATGCCTGTGGTTACAGTGGAATCATAAGCAAACCAAAGGACCGGCAGTGGGCGGTAGCAGCAGGGGCCAGAGAGCGTAGGTATCCATTTTCAAGAGCAAAGCAAGGACTTGGGAACTAGGACCTCAGAGCAAGCCTTTAGCAAGAGTGTTCAAAATGCGGGAACCCGAGAAAGCATGTCAGTGACCCTCACGATTAACACACAGGCACCGGCTTGCTCCCAGAGCACTATTTATCAACAAAGGAGTTCATGTGCTGACTTACTGACTTCCTGGCCATTCCTGGCTAAAGGAAAAAATGATCTTAACGTACATGTGTGAAAAATAAAACTCTGCAGATGGCTTAGGAAAGGCTGAGAGGCACTTCAGAGGGAGATGATAAAAGCTGATACTTCCCTAGATGGATGTATTTATAATATAAAGTTACCTCTGTAAAGTACCCAGAAACTTGCAAAGGACCATCATCCTGACCTGGATCCAATAATATTTCATAAACCCAGGCTAGAATGATCACTTCTAGAAAGACAGGTACCCACTGCCGTGGAATGCAAGTGTGGACTTTTAAGACTTGACAGCTCCTCGGGACTTCCCTGGTGGCGCAGTGGTTAAGACTCCCAATGCAGGAGATCCGGGTTTGATCCCTGGTCTGGGAACTAGATCCCACATGCGTGCTGCAACTAAGAGTTCACAAGCCACAACTAAGGAACCCGTCTGCCGCAACCAAGACCCAGCACGACCAAATAAGTAAATATTAAAAAAAAAAAAAAAAAAAAAAAGACTTGACAGCTCCTTGACCAGTTTGGATAATGACAAAGATTCAGATTTAGGAGTTATATCTAGCCCAGCTCAGCGCTCACAGCCCTGAAGGACAGGAATGTTGGTGGCAGGAGCAGCAGCCCTGGATTGACCTCTAGAGCCCATACTGGTTGTCTCAATTTCCCCAGGGCGGGAAGTGTGGGGATGAATGAATACAGAATGTCCAGAGCCAGGACAGAACTCAAGGCTTTGGACTCTCATTCCAGTGATTTTTCATGATGTTATGCTTCTCCCTCAGAATAGAACTTAGTATTTACTGTGCGTTCAGCCTGTGCAGAACTCTCAAAAATTCGGACTGAATGGATGTTTCTAAAACGCGAGGGGAAATGTCCCTCTAACACTGTTTGCGTCTGTGTGTTTGAGCTGGGAGGGGTGAAGCATCAGGGTAGGAAGGAGATGGGGTGGGGGGACGGGAATCATGGGGATCGGAAGGGAGCAGTCCTTGGACCACTCTGTCTGTGTGTTACTCTGTAAATGGTTACATTCAGATAACACGTAACAGATTTGGATCACTTCGATGTTGACTCACTTTCCCTACAGTAACTCCATGAGGTAGATGGTATAGATTTCCAAATAGAAAAGGAAGCTGGGACTCAGGGTGATCTTGCCCCAAACATCACAGTCAGTAAACAGAGGGTTGAAACTCCAGGCTTTTGAGTCCTTGAAGTGCCGTTTTCACCTCACCGGGAAATGAATGCCTGACTTTGTCAGTTAGCGCAGCCAGTCGATGACTGTGTTTGTAGAGTTACTGACGTCTGTGACCTGAAGGTGCAGTTCTCTGATTTCTTAGAGAGCTCTGCCTGTCAGTTCTACAGAGCCAGGGGCTCTCTCCCCGCCTCATACTTATCTTTGCCAATCGAGAGATGATTTATTCAGCAAATACTGAATGAGCGCCTCCTCTCTGCATGGAGCAAACAGCAGTGAACATGAGAAATAAACTGTTCTTTTATTTATTTATTAAATTTATAAATTTATTTATTTATTTTTGGCTGTGTTGGGTCTTCATTGCTGTGGCGAGCGGGGGCTACTCTTTGTTGCGGTGTGCAGGCTTCTCATTGCGGTGGCTTCTCTTGTTGTGGAGCACGGGCTCTAGGCACGTTGGCTTCAGTAGTTGTGGCACGTGGGCTCAGTAGTTGTGGCACGCAGGCTCTAGAGCGCAGGCTCAGTAGCTGTGGTGCACAGGCTTCGTTGCTCTGCGGCATGTGGGATCTTCCTGGACCAGGGCTCGAACCTGTGTCCCTTGCATTGGTGGGCAGATTCTTAACCACTGTGCCACCAGGGAAGCCCCAGGAATAAACTGTTCTTGAGGAACTTATTTTCTATTTGGGGAGACAGATCATAGACAAACAAAATAATAGTTACTGCAAAATCAGAGAGAGGTAAGTGCCATGAAGAAAAAAATCAAACAGGTAATGGGATAGTAAGTGATGGGGTGAGAGTCTGTTTTAGATAAGGTGGCCAAGGAAGGCCTCTCTGAGGTGAATGCAATGAAAATGACAGAAGAGGGTAACGATGTGTAAGAGTGTCCCCAAGCTGGGGGGACAACAGGTGTACAAGCCCCAAGTTAGAAATTAGTTTGCTATGTTCAGGAACATCAGATTTGTTTAAAAATCCAGATATGTTTATAGTAATAATAATAAGAAGAATGATAAATAACTAGCTATTTGGCCACCATTGGAGGATGCTAGTGAATGAACTCATTATTTGGAAAGCTGATAAATAAAGAGAATGATTAAATCATGTATCCTGTCCTGATACGAGCTGTACTATTGGGTGACTAAGAAGGAGATGAGAGGAGGTTTCTTTTTATAAAGTTATTCCACCTAACATATGAAGAGGGAATGATAGAATTAGGATATCAGCGTTTTATAATCTTTTATAGATTAATTCATGTAGTTGTGCTTTTATCAGAAAGAGACAACCCAAGGTTAGGTGTCTTCTGATGGTAGAACATATGAAATAGTTTTGCTTAAAAAAAGAAAAGCTAAAGGTAACCAAACTTCTAAATCAACCACCAATGTAAAGGCAGAATGGAGACTGGAAGGACATGTTGAGTGACACCATAAAGATTCAACCAAATTTCCATTTTTGGGAAACACTATAAACCAAATAACTCAGTTTCTTCAATAAATAATTTGCAATGCAAAGAATTAGAAATGGAGGTGGAACCCACTGATGAAAAGAGACTCAGGAGACTGATCTCAGTGTATGGACAATTAAACTGTAAAAGAAATGTTGGCTTTATGAGGTAATTATTAGGTTTATGAGACTAGGTATCTGATAGTAAGGAATTGTTATTAATATTTTGGTGAGATAGTGATTTTGTGGTTATATATCTAAGTCTGTGTCTTTTGGAGATACTTATGAAATATGAAATGATTTAATATGTTTGATTTGCTTCAAAATCATAGAGGGAGAGGGTGGATGCTTGAGGAGCATAGGTATGAAACCAGGTTGGCTGTGAGCGATGAAGCTGACTCATTCTCCATGCTCTTTTTGTATACTGTTAAAGTTTTTCACAATAAGAGGTTAAAAGAAGTCACTCTGGCTATGATGTAGAAAGTAGACTATGGGGGGCAAGAGTGGAGGCAATTAGGAGGGGCTGTGGTCACCCAGGTCAAAGATGAGGGTGGCTTGGACTAGGTACATGTGGCAGAAATGAGAAGTGTGTAGCTTTAGGACTTAGGAATAGGGTGGAGCCAAAAGGACTTGATGGATTGGCTGTGGGATGGGAAGGGGGGAGGAGAGAAAAAGTTGACAGTGGATGCAGTCCTGCAATCCAGTGATAAGATACAGGCTGGAGATTTTCCTCCTTCCCAAAAAGTGTAATGACTTGTTTGCTCTCTGCAGAATACCCTAGCAAATAAGGAGCTGATTCGCTGTGTCATCCTTCCTCGGATTATTTTTGGGGAAGAACCCTGGAAATGTGCACAGGCTTTGGCCACCCTGGCTTATGGCTACGTGACACTGAGAGGTACTCGATTTCCCCGGCTGGGTCTGGGGGAGCCAGCCACACTGAGCCCACACAGAACCACAGTCGGGGTGGGGTTGCCCAGGGGAGGGTCCATCCTGTCCCCAACTCACACCTTGTCAAGAAGCGGGGAAGTCCATGGATGAGGCGGGCAGTGTGACAGGTATCGTAGAGGTAAAGGTAATCAATAACGAGGGAAGGGAAGTAGAGAACAGAAGCCTGGAGGACAAGAGCGTTAGGATTGGGCAGCGGAAGCGGAGCCAGCAAGGAAATAGAATCAGGAGGGGCCAAGTCATGGAAGCCAAGGGCGGAGAAGGGGTTTCAAAAGGAAGTGCAGTGTGGTTTCAGCAGGGTCAGATGGCAGAGAGAGGTCAAATGAGGTGAAGGCCGAAGACAGACCCATGGATTTGTCAGTTGGCAAGTCATTGACACTTGGTTTGGCACCAACGGGTATACTCCTTGGGCCCTGGGAGAGCCCAGATTCAGGGAGACAACTTAGGTAACTATTTTTGAAATTCTGACCTGAGGTGATGGCAGCTTGAACCTGAGAGGAAAGTACCAGAAGCATTTGAGGGGGATGTTTGTCTGAACCGAGGGCAGGCAGACACGGCCTCCCTTTCTTTAGAGAGATTACTATGGTAGGTCTGTGGAAGGAGGTTGGCCTTCATCTTCTGAAATCAACCCTTTCTATGAATAGCCACAGTAGACTTTGAGTTTTGCTTTTCCAGTTAGATTCCAGACTAACTCAAGACCGGTAAACAGGTTACATTATAAAAGATGGTGGGAGCACCACCCTCTTTTCCCTAATTCACAGTTCTTCCTGCCACATGAATGGAGAACCACATTTGAGTAGTAGGTTGGAGGGGAAAAAGTTTTCCTGTAAAAGAAGGTCTTTTTGTGTGTTTGTTTTTTCTAGATGGGAAAAACAACTTCCTGATTAGCTGAAGTGCCCACATAATATAACAGCACTCAGTCTTGAACCCAGACTTTCTGAGGCCTAGCCTAGAGTTTTTCTAGAATAGGTTTTGATTATGGCCGTACCTTGAGAATAGCCTAGGGTCTCTTATTTCAGGTATAGGCCTTACCCAGTTTCTTCACTTTAACTTTTTTTTGAAGTCTGTGGTCCTTCAAATAAAACAACGAAAGCTTTGAAAAATGACGGACCTTCAAGAGGGATGAAGTGCTTGCTGAATTCCACTTAGTTTTGTTGTCATTAATCCTGCAACTGCTGCAAAATAGACAGAATTTATGAGCCAGGCTCCCGTGTAGGCGGGATGTATGCGTCTGTGTGTGCTCACGCCTCGCTGCACATGTGCATGCTTTATGGCCAGCAGACCTGCCTGGCTCATTTCCCTGGGAGCCTTTTCCAGCAATGGGGGAAGGGCGTCAAGCCAGAAGGCTGATTTCTCTCGATAAATGGTCTTCCAGTAAGTATTTAATGAGACACTTGTATATGTGAAATTCTTTGACGAGGGCTCTGGGAACTATAAGGGGCAGAAGGCACAGTCGTTGCCTTCAGAGAACTTACAGCCTCGTATGGAAGGTGAGCTACCCACAGACAACTGCGATAGAAGGCACCGGAAGGCACCAGAAGGCCATGGGACTGGTTTAAATACAGGGCTTTGGGGGCGCTGGGTGAAATCATTTCTGACTGAATAGATTCAGGAAGAGGTGCCATTCAAGAAGGCCCTTTAAAAATGAGTAGGGTTGGGTAGGCAGAAGAAGGGGCAGGCATTTCTGATGAAGAACAAGGCCTGGCAGACGCGTGGAGGTGGGAGAGTGCAGCGTGTGTTTAGAAAGTAGTCAGCAGCACTGGCTGGGCACGGTCAGCACCACTCAGATGAACCTGGAAAGCAGGACGCTTTGGGCAGGCTGAGGAGTTAGTCATTTATTTGGTAGACAAGGAGGACTACTAGAGATTTTCCAGCAGGGGGATGAATAAATCAAAGTGTGCTTTTGGAAAGGTCAGTCTAGCAATGATAGCTAGAATGGAAGCTATCCCATCTAGCTGTTTACCTCTAGGTGTAAAACCAGGCTGGTGACAGGGGGCACGAGTGAGAAGGTAAGGATTTAAGAGTCTACGAAGGACAGATACCTTTACCTTTTAAGCCAGAAATCCCACTTTTGGGACTCTTTCCTGAATACACACTTAAATGGATGATATTATTCTTTGCAGCATTGTTTATGATAGTAGAAGATTGGAAACAACCAAGTATGCTCATCATACTTGGACTAATATACACTATGTGGTATATACAGCCTTAGAAAGGGCTTATCTACCGCTAGGGAAAGATCTCCTGGATACATCTTTAGGCAACAGAGAACGCACAACGCAGGACCGTGTTTGTAACATACCTCTTTTCAGGTAAGAAGGAGGGGAGAGAAATGAGAATATGTGCTTATATTCACATCAAGAATATGTGCTTATATTCACATCAAGAAACACTGAAGGAAACACAAGAAAGAAACAAAAGTTACCTAGAGGCTGCTTGTGAAAGGGAATAGAATTTGAAGTGAGACCTCTCAACATTTACCTTTCCATATAATTTTAACTTTTGAACCATGGGAATGTATTACCTATTCAAAAATGATAGTTAAAAAAGGGCTGTGAAGGAAGAATTGGCAGGACATGGCATTGGATTTGAGGTCGAGGAAAAGTGAGGCCCCAAGATGACCATGAAGTTTCAGGCCCCTCAAGGTGCCATCATCAGAGATAAGCCGGTCAGGAAAGGAAGCGAAGTGGGAGAGGAATGGTGGGTCTGGTTTTTGACATATTGATTGTGAATTACAACGGAGAAATCCACAAGTATATTTTTACTAGGTGCTGGAAAGTTGGGACCAGAACTGGGGAGGAGAGAAGGGGAATCATAAGCATGGAAGAATATTTGAGACCAGAACTAGGGAGGGAGGGGAAATGGAAAATTATAAGCATGAAGGCCGAGGTTGACGTTATAGGAGTTGATAAAACTTCTGAGAGGAGAGAGAAGAAAAGGAAGAAATGGAAAGACAGACCCTTGGAGAATGGACATATTAATGGAAGGGAACAGAGGACCCTGGTAGAGTGAGCAAAGAGTCCAATAGAGAAGGTTTATCAAGGAGAGCTGAGTTAGAGCAGTGCCTTGGGAGCCAAGAGGAGAAGCCAAGTAGCCTAGGTGTCTGATGCTGCCATGAGATGGGGATACAAGAAACTGCGACTGCTCTTACTCAGTAAGAGGCCCTTGGGGACCTCACGAGAACCATTTCTGCAGAAGGGTTGGAGCAGACGCCAGATCCAGGGGATGAGGGGAAGGCATGGGCCGGTAGCCTAGGCTATGTATGCCACATCCTGCATAGTGAAGGCTATGTATGCCACGTCCTGCATAGTGAAAGGGATGAGGGGAAACAGGAGGGTAGCTAGGGAAGGCAGAAAGGTCATTTGAAGCTAATTTTATAAGAGGAGGTGACCTGGGAACATTTTAGGCAGTGAAGAAGGAGCCAGATAGAGAGTTTGAAGGTTTTAAAAAATGGAGCAATCGATGCAGCGGGGTTCAGGAGTCAATAACAAAAAAACGCGAGGCCTTTGTGAAGCAGAGAGTGTAAAAGACTGATGGTTGGTGAAACAGGGTAAGGGACACTAGAAGTGGAACTCTGTCACCAGCTGACCTGGCGAGAACCCTCCCGAGCCTAGGGTTTCAGTGGTTGAGAAAAGGGCAGGTGGAGGTGGCTGGTCACCTTGTGACCACTGTTTCCATGTGTTCAGGAAGGAGAAGACAGTAACATGGGCAAGCAGTTTCCTGGTGTTTTGCCTATTATTAATGAAGCAATGAATTAATTTGTTAGCCTGTTATTACTGGGAACCTTCCAGGTATCTGGGGCTCTAAGTGTTGCAGAAATCTCGAAAAAGATGCATAAGTCATGAACCCTACCTTCTCTGTCTAGTTGGTAAAAAAGCTGGTACAGGAGCAACAGGGAATGATAAAGAGCAGTTGATCTGACCTGCAGGAAGCCTGGTACCTATCTGAAGTGAGTGTGCGTTTGAGAAGGCAGCCTTTTATAGAGATTCTGTAAGCAGCTTTATGAAGAATGTCCAGAGTACATAAGGACATACATAAATAATAAATTGCTTAAGGGGAATGGACCCTGGTAGTAATGATGATGATAACAGCTAATTTTTATTTAAACTCATTTCATTTCTGTGTCAGGCACTATTTAATCCTTTTTCATAAATTAGTTAAATTAATGCTTGCAACAACCGTACGAGGTGGGAGGTATTTTCATTGCCATCTTATAGGTGAATAAACGGAAGTACAGATAGATTAAGTAACTCATTCGAGTAGTAAGTGGCTGAGCCAGCTTCTGTACCTGGAAGTCTGGCCCTAAGACCCTGCTGTCGTAATCGAAGCAGGTCTTGCTGCCACCCTGATTTTTACTTCTGTAGTTGCTGCCCTGTTGGTGCAGGTGTCCCTGGCTGGGGAGGGCAAGTAAAGGAAAATGACGTGGTCTTGGAACAGCCATCGGATTCAGGGAGGTGGGACTTGGAGTTAGGAAACAAGGTCACCGATCTGTGAGCATCCTCTAGAGAGAGAGGAAATGAGTCTTACACAGACACATATATGCAGAGCATTATTTTTACATAAAAGAGGGTGTTCTTGCAATTAGTAAAAAGCAAATGCATTTCAGAATATTAGATTCTGACTCTTCGTACTTTGTCATCCTGAATTTTCTCATGTAGGAAATGCTGTAAAAATATTATCACAGATTTCTTTAATGAAAAAGGAGCTTTTTCGTACTTGAAAACTTTAGAAAGCATTCGTCTAGAGCAGTGGTCTCTAAACTCTTGAGAATTAGCTCTCTTTTCACAAAAAATGTTTTGAGCACTCTCCATAAATATGTATTTATTATAAACTGTGTACAATAGTATTAAATATTACGTAATGTTATATTCATAAAAATAGAAAACAAAAAAGATTGTTTTTAAAAGCAGAGAAATTTTAATTTTTTCCCCACACCCTTATGTCATCTTGCATACCCATAGGGGTACACGCACTCCACTTTGGAGACCAGAGTGGATTCTGGGAAGAGTAAAGGAGTCATTTTTTTCTTTAGGGCTGATTTTAAAGTTGAATGAGCTGTTTTAAATCGAGATCCTAGTTCAGTTTACTTTAGTCCATTGGTTACCAGCTCAGCTTTTTCATCAGAAGGACCACAGTGCAGGGCATGGGGAAGGGGAGACAGGGAACTATATACTCAATTAGCTGCTGAGTTTAGAGGAAAAGGGTTCCTCTTGGGGATTTCACAGCCAGCACTGGGCCCCTAGGGCTGGGGTGTGGAGCTGAGGGGGCAGCCTTGCAAAGCCTCAGAACAACTTTAGGATTTGTTTTCTGTTTAGGAGCCCAGAAGCAATGTTGTGCTGATTTGGGGGTGGTTTTCAATAGCTCATCCAGTTTCACTTTTCTCCCTCTGTGGACCCAGGGAAGCATCTAAATGTGGTTCCTGCACTCCTTATTGACACGCTCCCAAGGGCCCAGATCGTTGTGGAAAGTAACCTATTTGATAAAAAGACTCTCGGTTTCCTACTTTGGTGTCTTGGCCTGATTCCCTGGCAGAGTTTTCTGTTGCTGCTGCCTTCTCAGGACCTATGAAGACTCCCTATTACCTAGCAGATCAAGTCCAGCTTCCTCAACTTGGCACCCAAGACTCCATTTTCTCCATCCAATTCATACGTTATGTGTCTTTCAATTTAAACCTCTCTTCAGGCAGACTGGTCTTCTTACAGCCTTCCCTAATACTGCAGCACCCCCCAACCCCACCCCACCAGTGCACATGTGCACGAGTGTGCTCATGTGTGCACGCACACACACACACACACACACACACACACACACATACACACACATGCTTATTCTGTCTTTATGGCCTCAGGCTGTTTACTCCAAGTGGAAACCCGTTCTCGTTCTTCTCCATCAGTCAAAACCCTACCTACTCTTCAGAAAGGAGATGAGTCCCACTTCCTGTATAAAGGCTTTACTGACTCACTGTTTCTCCAAATGTGGTCCTCAGACAGCCTACATCAGTATCACCTAAGAGAGTTGTTATAAATCTGAATCCTTGGTTCTCACCTTAGAACTTGTGAACCGTAACTATGGGAGGCCCAGGAATCTGCACTCTAACAGGGTGCTTATGACGCTCCATGCAATTTGAGGACCACTGTCATCTGGTAACTTGAGATGCAGCCCTCTCTTTCACCACAGAGTCCAGTTTTCTTTTCAGTTGAGACCTACAGAACAGGCATCTCTGAGTGTTCTACAAAGACTTCTCGGCTTCTGGGTCACTTTTAGGGCTCTTCCAGAGAAACTGTGTTCCCATTGCGGCAATTCACTAAGGACCTGCACATCTGGAACATATGAGGGCTGCAGGCATCAAATGCAAGCCCTTTCAAATGATCTCTGTTGCCACTGACTGCACCCATACTGTGAAAGCGGGCTCCAAGGGCCAAACGGAGAGCAAACTGAGGGCTGAGGTGCGAGCGGAGCATCAGAGGTACAGCGGGCCTCCCCACAGTGGCAGGGGTGAATATGTCTCTCAGACCCTGGGGGCTGCCAAGAGGAGAGCTGAAGCAGCCATGGCAGTCCTCAGTAGGGTGGAGGAGAACCCCTATATGTTCTCTGCTGGCTTGTCTCTTTTCTCCAGAGTTTCCCTCTCCCATCAGGGACCACTAGACGTGAGCTAGGCTAGACGATGAGGAAGTAGTTCTGTAAACGGAATACTCCCAAGTCTCCCTCTGTTAACTGGAATAACAGTTCAAGTAAGTGCCCGGAATACCAGCCTTTAGTTAGAAAATGCGGGGAAACGTGCCCCATGTTCTGTCTAGCAGAGGTTTGGTATCCCCTTTGTCTTCTTTCTCTAGAGAGGGGCCTCACTGCATTTAGAAATCAGGTATTTTGTGCGTGCGTGTGTGTGTGTGTGTGTGTGTGTGTATGTGTGTATGTGACCAATTTGTATCACCAGCTTCATCTTGGATTGAAAAAAATCCCCAGGTGGAAGTAATTGTATTCATAAGCCCTTTGACTTTATAGAATGCCTTTTCCAGAAAGCTCGAATGAAGCATAGCACTCTGTGGCATAACCCAGTTCATTCCTGGACTATCTCCATGTGTTTGGTAAAAGGGCAGCTTCTATAATTTTGTTGTCATTTTGCATTTGGAGGATGGAGAAGCTTTGTGGATTGAAAAGGTCACATGGCATTAGCAGTGGATTGGGAATGGGATACTCAGCTTCCACTCCTGACTCCATCAGTGATTTCCAAACCGAGTCCGTAGACGAATGCCCGGATGGCTGCATAAGAAGCATTTGTGGAGTTAATTCAAAATATAGAGTCCTGGACGCTATTCCTCTAGAGATTCCAACTCAATACGTCTAGGGTGAGGGGCAGGATGGGGGGAGCCAGGAACCTATATTCTTTACAAGCATTCCAGATAATTCTAATGCACTGCCAATTTGGGGAACCAATACTAAAGACCAAATGACAACCACAATGCCCTCCTTCCCCCTCCCAGGAATGTCTTTGACTGAAAAACCTTTTTAATGTTTCTCATCTTGCCATCCACCCTCAAACTTCCCCAGGTCTCCCAGCTCAGGCCAAGAACCATGCTGAGTCTGCCAAGAACACACTGCTGACCTGGAAGGGAAACACGACCTCAGACAAGGAGAAAAAGGAAATCCTGGAAACTCTGGTCATGCTCTACTACACTCTGGGGGTGGCCTGGCTCCTACAGAGCCGATATCCTTCCCTTCCCAGCAAGGTCTGGAGATCAGGGCCAGGGGCCACGCATGCCACATGGGTCGTCTCACACAGGGTAAGAGGTGAAACCGAGGCCTCGTAGCTCCATTCTGACATCCAGGTCTTCCACAAGCCTCTGCTATCCATCTAGAAAGTACGAATGTTCCTCCTGTGTCTATTCATATGAGCTCTGAGTTAAGCCATGGGAGGGTTGTCACTGGGGACACATCCCCTGGCCAGCTGGAAGCTTTTGGAGCCTGTCCCGCTCCTCAGAGCACTCAAGACAGTGTTAGCAATGAGGACGCAGGTGATAGTGGTGGTGGCCATGTAGGAAGACAGAAGATGAATGGTAATTTAAAGCACTGTTTCTCAAAGTAGGCTGCACGTTGTAATCCCCTGGGGGAGCTTTCAGAATTATTGCTATTTGGGTCCCACCGCAGAGAGTTTGATTTAGTAGGTCTGGGGTGCATCTGTTCATTGAGATTTTTAAAAGCCCCAGGTGATTGTAACATACAGCCCAAAACCTCTGATTTAATGTACACATGGTCATTTTAGTTTTTCTGAAATGCCGTTGAGAACACTGCCCATGAAACCAGAGGCCAAGCAAAATAGACAAAAGAAAGAGTTCTCCATATTTCCAGAGGGGAGCTGTTATATATGCCTCTCCTCAAAAAGCTTGTGATTTTGACAGCTCCTTTTGGTACCATCTCCACTTGAAAACTCTTCAGGGTCTTTCATGTTCATGAATAATCATAAGCCCTCTCTGAGCCCATGTGTCCCCAGTCTCTCCTCTCTACACATCCCCCTCTCTACTTTTTTGGTTCTGATGCTCAACTTGCAAAATCTGATATGTTTCCTTCCTCTCTTATGCCCTTAGTAGAGGGCTATTGAAAATGTGGGATAGAAGGATATTTGGGAATTAAGGGGATTTTCTTTCCTGCTATTTGCCTCTCGCCCAAAACCTGCTTTGCTTGGACTTTCTAAATGACCCAGAAAGTCCCTTTCAGCAGATTTAGTTCCTCTCTTTTACAGAAACCCACTTGGGAAAAATGAATAATTGTTGTCATGCAGTAGATGCCTCTAAGGAAATCCAGTGTAATTTACGGTTTCCGTTCACTCCAAATGCTCACCACCCATCCTAGCCCTGGATTGCAGCAATACCACAGGACACCCAGGGCCCTGTTCCTTTTCTGAAGAATTCTCCCTTCTTGACAGCATATATAGATGGAAAATAGGGAAGGGTGCATTTTCAAATACTGCTTCGTTTTCCCAAGGGCCCCTTTTGTTTGCTTACCCACTGGTGCCCCTAGTCAGTGTGGGAGGTTTGTGTACCTGGCATTCTCCTTGACTGTTTCACTGGCAGAGAGGCTTATTTCAACCTGCAGAAGTCAGAGAGAAACATGGAGGAGCTGAAAAAATCATATAAGGGAGGGGCTTCTGGATTACAGGTCTCAGAGGAAGACCTAACAGTTGCTTTGGGCAGGTAAGATCTGGGCTTAGACAAGCTTGGACTTTTACGGCTAAGGCCTGGAATTACATGATTGTCTTGTACTCTCTATATAAAGGGGGAAAAATATTCAGAGCCAAAGACCCAGAGACTCAAACGATAGTAAAAGAGGCTCGTATTTGCCAAACGCATACATCATGGTCTAAGCTTCGTGTGCTCTGTCCCATTTAATCCTCACAGCCACCCCTGAGGTAGTTAGTGCAATAATTATGTCATTAGAGAGAGGGCAAAGAAACTGAGCTGAGGTTAAACAAACTATCCAAGGTGAAGCTTTTTTTTTTAATATATAAATTTTATTTATTTATTTATTTTTGGCTGCGTTGGGTCTTCATTGCTGCGCGCGGGCTTTCTCTAGTTGCGGCGAGCGAGGGCTATGCTTCGTTGCGGTGCACGGGCTTCTCGTTGCGGTGGCTTCTCTTGTTGTGGAGCACGGGCTCTAGGCGCGCGGGCTTCAGTAGTTGTGGCACGTGGGCTCAGTAGTTGTGGCTCGTGGGCTCTAGAGCGCAGGCTCAGTAGTTGTGGTGCACGGGCTTAGTTGCTCTGCGGCATGTGGGATCTTCCCGGACCAGGGATCGAACCCGTGTCCTCTGCATTGGCAGGCAGATTCTTAACCACTGCGCCACCAGGGAAGCCCCAAGGTGATAAGCTTTAAGTGTTGGATCTGAACTTGATCTGAACTTACAGACTGTTAGCCCTTCCTTGTGCTGCCTCTCATACTTACTGTAAAATTCCTTTTTTTTCTGAATTGCCACCTACTTTTGTCATCAAGTATGACAACTTAAAAGATGAGGAAGGAACAGTTAATGAAGACAGTTTATTGGAGGTCCGTGAGTTATGCATAGCACGTGCATTTTAAGGGAAAGTTGTGTTCCATATGGAAACAAAGTTCATGGAATTTGTTCAAGCCAGAATGAGACTTAACTGTTTCACAGTTGAGTTAGGGATCCTCTGAGAATCAGAATATTTAGATACGAGAGTGGGCCCATCAGATTATCAGAAGAAAAAATAAGAATAATAAAAGGTTTACTATCCCCTAGAGTTTTCAAATATCTTCACATACTTAAAAGCAATCTGTTTCCAAAACTGTAAGCACTTGGCATGGTAGGGTAGGTGACGGAATGGTAAGGAAATGACATGAGTCATGCCTGCCTCCTCTAAAAAGCCATGAATCTAGAAGTCAAATGGGAAATGGCAAGGAGATGTCCGAACGTCCAGAGTTAAATATGGAATTAAGTCCACAGGCCCATAAATTAGAGTCTGGTGAATGTCTACTGCTGTCACACGGGGCAGTGACTAAGGTTTTTGTGCTTATGTGAAAGATAGTCTTGTTCCTCTTTCAGAATAAATTTGAGTGCATATTTCATTCGTCCATTCCACACTGTTGACCTGTTTTGTACGTGCACTGTCCTAAGTGTTGGAACGTTTACTGAAGTATAACTACATCCTAGACACTGTCCTAAGTGCTTTACATAATTTATTTCACTCAGTCTTATACCACAAGCATATGAGGTAGGTATTTTTCTGTTTAGTTTAAAGATAAGAAAATTAAGGCATGGAAAAATTAAGTAGCTCAGGGTGACAGAACTAATAGGTAGGAGAGCCAGCACTGGGTCGTCTGAATCCCTAGCTCACCTTCTATGACACACTGAGTTATGTCTGATACCCACCAAATATCTAGGAAGGGCAAATCCTTTTTCCCATTTGAAGGGTGGGGAAAATGAGGCCAGATTGCTCAGGCAGGTCAGACAACTTGGCTGATTATCTCCCTGCGAGCTCTTGATGAAAGGCATTATCATTCTATAACTTGTGCTCTTATGGTCAAGGGAAATAGTGGTCTGATTGACAAAAATAAAATTTTTGTGTGTGTGAAGAATTATCAGATAACATGCCTTATATATTCTTTTGACTGAAAATTCTAATCTTCAGGGGAGGGAGAAACCTTCCAGCTTCAAATAAATTGTAACTATTGCAGAATGCCTTATATAAAATAATTTTATACACACACTTATATTTTTAATTCAACTTGGGAATACAAAGATGGGGGCATGGGGTAAGGGAGAAGAAATATTGATTGTGTATCTACTACATGTTAGGCAATTTTACATATTATTTTAAATCTAATCTTCATAACAACCTTGTAATTTAGGTATTCTTAACCTTCTTCTATTTGGAAGGAAATAAAGACTCCTGGAGTTTGCCCATAAAGCTAATAACTGTGAGAAGCAGCTTTGAACTACTCATGTTCTTCTCTTTGTGTCTTGCTAACTCTAGAAAGAGAAACCTAAATGAATGCTATGAATGCTATTTTATTATCATTAAAAAATTATATTCCCCATTTGTTTTGGAAATTTGAAAGAACAGACATACACGAAGAAAATAAAAGTCAATTGTAATGTCACCACCCAGACATAACTGCTATAAACATTTCAGTTATTTCTCTCTCTCTTTCTATATATATATATATATATATATATTTAAATATAAATATATGTGTATATACACACATATATAAACACACACATATATACATGTCAGGATTATATATATATATTTAACATCTTTACTGGAGTATAATTGCCTTACAATGGTGTGTTAGTTTCTGCTTGACAACAAACTGAATCACCTATACATATACATATATCACCATATCTCCTCCCTCTTGCATCTGCCTCCCACCCTCCCTATCGCACCCCTCTAGGTGGTCACAAAGCACCAAGCTGATCTCCCTGTGCCACGTGGCTGCTTCCCACCAGCTATCCATTTTTACATTTGGTAGTATATATAAGTCCATGCCACTCTCTCACTTCGTCCCAGCTTACCCGTCCCCCTCCCTGTATCCTCAAGTCCATTCTCTATGTCTGTGTCTTTATTCCTGTCCTGCTCCTAGGTCCTTCAGAACAATTATTTTTTTGATTCCATATGTATGTGTTAGCATACATTATTTGTTTTTCTCTTTCTGACTTACTTCACTCTGTATGACAGACTCTAGGTCCATCCACCTCACTACAAAGAACTCAATTTCATTTCTTTTTATGGCTGAGTAATATTCCATTGTATATATGGGCCACATCTTCTTTATGCATTCATCTGTTGATGGACACTTAGGTTGCTTCCATGTCCTGGCTATTGTAAATAGAGCTGCAATGAACACTGTGGTACATGACTCTCTTTTTTTTGAAATTTTTATTTTTATTTTATTTTTTTATACAGCAGGCTCTTATTACTAATCCATTGTATACATGTTAGTGTATATATGTCCATCCCACTCTCCCAATTCATCACACCACCACCACCCCCCTGCCACTTTCCCCCGTGGTGTCCATACGTTTGCTCTCTACATCTGTGTCTCAATTTCTGCCCTGCAAACCGATTTATCTGTATCATTGTTCTAGGTTCCATATATATGCGTTAATATACGATATTTGTTTTTCTCTTTCTGGCTTACTTCACTCTGTATGACAGTCTCGAGATCCATCCACGTTTCTACAAATGACCCAATTTCGTTCCCTTTTATGGCTGAGTAATATTCCATTGTATATGTGTACCACATCTTCTTTATCCATTCGTCTGTCGATGGACATTTAGGTTGCTTCCATGTCCTATCTATTGTAAATAGCACTGCAGTGAACATTGGGGTGCATGTGTCTTTTTGAATTATGGTTTTCTCTGGGTATATGCCCAGTAGTGGGATTGCTGGGTCATATGGTAATTCTATTTTTAGTTTTTCAAGGAAGCTCCATACTGTTCCCCATAGTGGCTGTATCAAATTTGCATTCCCACCAACAGTGCAAGAGGGTTCCCGTTTCTCCACACCCTCTCCAGCATTTGTTGTTTGTAGATTTTCTGATGATGCCCATTCTGACTGGTGTGAGGTGATACCTCATTGTAGTTTTGATTGGCATTTCTCTAATACTTACTGATGTTGAGCAGCTTTTCATGTGCTTCCTGGCCATCTGTATGTCTTCATCGGAGAAATGTCTATTTAGGTCTTCTGCCCATTTTTGGACTGGGTTGTTTGTTTTTTTTAATATTGAGCTGCATGAGCTGTTTA